ATACGTTTTTGTGCATCTCTTCGTGCTAGTGAGCGGGGAGTTTAGTCTAAAAAAAGCGGGGGGGTTGGGGGGGGCGCAGCCTGCAAACCTTTTAAACCCTTCACGATTGATTGTGTTTACTTCGCATTAAACCACCCTGGCGCGTTCTTGTCTGGCTTTCTTCTTCTTGTGTTTTGGCGAATACGTTTTTGTGCATTTCTTCGCGGCTTTTTAGTGAGCGGGGAGTTTAGCCTAAACAAAGCGGGGGGGTTGGGGGGGGCGCAGCCACCCCCCCAGTTGCAAACCTTTTAAATCCTTCACGATTGATTGTGTTTTCTTCGCATCAAACCACCCTGACGCGTTGTTGTCTGGACTTCTCCTTCTTGTGTTTTGGCGAATACGTTTTTGTGCATCTCTTCGTGCCTTTAGTGAGCGGGGAGTTTAGTCTAAAAAAAGCGGGGGGGTTGGGGGGGCGCAGCCCCCCCCATTTTCCAAACCTTTTAAACCCTTCACGATTGATTGTGTTTACTTCGCATTCAACCACCCTGTTTTCTTCGCATTAAACCACCCTGACGCGTTGTTGTCTGGCTTTCTCCTTCTTCTGTGTTGGCGAATACGTTTTTGTGCATCTCTTCGTGCCAGTGAGCGGGGAGTTTAGCCAAAAAAAAGCGGGGGGGCTTGGGGGGGCGCAGCCTGCAAACCTTTTAAACCCTTCACGATTGATTGTGTTTACTTCGCATTAAACCACCCTGGCGCGTTCTTGTCTGGCTTTCTTCTTCTTGTGTTTTGGCGAATACGTTTTTGTGCATTTCTTCGCGGCTTTTTAGTGAGCGGGGAGTTTAGCCTAAACAAAGCGGGGGGGTTGGGGGGGGCGCAGCCACCCCCCCAGTTGCAAACCTTTTAAATCCTTCACGATTGATTGTGTTTTCTTCGCATCAAACCACCCTGACGCGTTGTTGTCTGGACTTCTCCTTCTTGTGTTTTGGCGAATACGTTTTTGTGCATCTCTTCGTGCCTTTAGTGAGCGGGGAGTTTAGTCTAAAAAAAGCGGGGGGGTTGGGGGGGGCGCAGCCCCCCCCATTTCCAAACCTTTTAAACCCTTCACGATTGATTGTGTTTACTTCGCATTCAACCACCCTGACGCTTTTTTGTATTTACAAACCCTTTAAACCCCTCACGACTGATTGTGTTGTCTTCGCATTAAACCACCCTGACGCGTTGTTGTCTGGCTTTCTCCTTCTACTGTGTTGGCGAATACGTTTTTGTGCATCTCTTCGTGCTAGTGAGCGGGGAGTTTAGTCTAAAAAAAGCGGGGGGGTTGGGGGGGGCGCAGCCTGCAAACCTTTTAAACCCTTCACGATTGATTGTGTTTACTTCGCATTAAACCACCCTGACGCGTTGTTGTCTGGCTTTCTTCTCCTTGTGCTTTGGCGAATACGTTTTTGTGCATCTCTTCGCGGCTTTTTAGTGAGCGGGAAGTTTAGCCTAAAAAAAGCGGGGGGGTTGGCCCCCCCCATTTGCAAACCTTTTAAACCCTTCACGATTGATTGCGTTTACTTCGCATTAAGCCACCCTGACGCTTTGTTGTATTTACAAACCCTTTCAACCCTTCACGACTGATTGTGTTTTCTTCGCATTAAACCACCCTGACGCGTTGTTGTACGACATAAGGAGGCAGTATTCTCGAAGCTAGACAGCATAAGAAGTTGCGAAGTGAAAAAGCCAAGAAGCCGAAAAGCCAAGAAGCCAGAAGCCAAGAAGCCAGGGAAGCCGAGAAGCCAAAAGCCCAGAAGCCAGGGAATCCAAGAAGCCAGAAGCCAAGAAGCCAAGCGCGCACACAAGCCAAAAAAACAAAAATGCAAAAAAAAAAAAAAAAATACACCTCCAAACCATACTTGCCCGGGTCATAGGTCGCCCTCGACCGTAAAGGCCATAGTCATCTCGGCCGAAACACAACCCAGCAGTCTACTCCCCAGAGAGACCAGGATCCCTTGATATTCAGAAATAAATCATATAATGTGAAGCCCCTAAGAATTTCACGTATACTCATCAATTAAAGGGTACCCCGGGCGCTCTGGGTCGGAGGTCTCATGGGCACTTGTAAGTAGGGTCAGAAGTAGTGCAACTCTACTTAGAAACACATTTCCCCGCTTGTAGGTGCCCATGAACCTCCAAGTATCTTGGGGGGGATCCAAGGGTGTGCTAACGGACGGAAGGGCTGGTGGAGTTGCTAGTTTTTTGGACTACCGTCTGAAGGTGGGCCTTGGTTTTGGTATTGGGTTAAGTAAGGGTCAGGGACGCCTGAAAGGCATCCAATTTGTCTTTTCCGGTGGCGGTAGAAACAATGTGATACATCACATCATGTGCATGCATGTCTATAGAATTAAAAACAGATGTATGTACCGATTCAACAAATGCCTTGAACTATGGCAAGCTTTCGGGGGTCCGGGTTTACGACCAAATACCAGGGCATCAGTTACTGGAATATGGATTTGGTGTATAGCTGGTATAGTATGGTATAAGTATACTGGGGACTGCGAGGGACTGCTGTTTCTAACTAGTCCAACCCCTATCTATCTATCGCTCTACCTACCTAACTATCTACAGGTGTATGCTGTATGTATATGTGGTTTATATACTAAGGTTGAAGGTTAATATTTCAAGATATTCTAGTTCATGGCTGGGATAGGATTAGAAATTTGATTGTTATTCCTTATTGGGTCTAAGTATCCATGCAAATGTAAAATGTTGCCCAACTATGACAAAGTATCAGGGTCAAGATTGGGTTGGGATCCCCCTCCACTGCAGCTTCGACCCTTTTGAACCCCAAACCTGGTTGAATCTCGAATCATGTCAAGATCGGGGTTTAGGTTTGGGATCTAAGATCGGGGTGTAGGGTTTAGGATTTAAGATCGGGGAGATTGGGCATAAGATTCGGTTTCTTGAAATCTTGAGTATCATGGCTTTAAAAGCATTGGACGTAAGATACGTCCCTATAGATATGAGGATCCATAAGCCCGCCGAAGCCCTCAACTCTGTCCCCAGACCCCCAACCCTAAACCCCTTCACGAGGTAAACGGTGGGGTCAGAATCTCGGCTTTCACCAGGCAAATGAAGCTCCAAGGTATCCTCTGATTCAAGGGCCATCTACTACTAATGACGACTTGTAGGGTTTGGGACCCCAAGGTCACAAGTGGGGTGTCTGGTTGCGTTATTGTCGGCTTCGAGTCTGGACTTCAGGGCTTTGTTTTGATAGGATTTAGGAAAGAAATCGCCCCGGGCTAAACGTCCGAAAGAGCCTTTGTGGGGAACTGAATAAGGCCGAACACAAAGCTAAAACAAGAGGAAACAAATTCAAGCTGCTACTTCCGGCGCTGGAGTGGGCTTTGGCTGGGAAACTCTACGGAAAAGTATGGGCAGAACGCTAAACCCCATAGCGAATCTAAGCCCAAAGCACTAACGCGGCAACAAGCAATGGGAAACACTTGCCAGAGAGCCCAATACCCCTTAATTGAGGAACATACTTAAATCACTAGGGGCGTCAAATTATGATTTTAAGCTATATTCCTTAATTAAGGGGTATTGGGCTCTCTGGGTTCAAGCCGCTACCGTCGGCGCCTTGAACTTTCCGTCGGCTCGGCAGACACCATCGTCCTGCTTTGCGGCGACCTTTTCAGCGCGCGGAGGGTACCAAAGATCCCTTTTGCGGCGTGTTTGTTTTTTTTTTGAGCTCCTTTTCTCCAAGCCCGAAGGTCCGAAGAGGCTAGAAAGCGGGGTTTGGGCTTTAGGGTGTAGGCTTAGGGTTTAGGGTTTAGGATCCCTGATTTACCTTAAAGCCCCTTATGGTTGGGTTTAGGGTGTAGGTTTAGGGTTTGGGTTGAGTGTTTAGGTTTAGGGTTTAGGATCCATTTACCTGAGTTCACGGTATGGGTTCCGGGTGTGGGTTTAGGGTTTAGGGTCTAGGATCCCGAATTTACCTTAAGGCCCCTTAATGCCCCCGAAGCCCTAATCCCTGCCAGCCTAAACCCTAAAGCCCTGAAGCCCCTAACCTTACGTGTGAAAGTGCAGCATGATAGAACTTCCCACCCCTAAAACCAGCACCTGGGACGTAGATATGGGTTGTTGTCAAAACTCAAAATTATGGCCCCTTTATGGGTACCTTAAATACTAGGTGCCGTATTATATTGAAGACCCCAAACAGGGACCATGAGTTTGACAGTCGCCCATATGACCTTTGGTCCCAATGAAAGAGGCTGGCAAATGCTGGGAGGCTCGATCTCCAAATCGACTTCCGATCAGATTCGTTTTCGCTTGAAAAAACCGATGAACGAACACCGAAATCATGCACCCACGAATGCAAGGAACCGAGGACCCCACGCATGTACTTCCTTTCTTTTCGCAGACCTCGCTGCAGGTCTCCCTTTTCTCCATCACCTTCAGAAGGGTCGGTTTTGGAGCTTAAGAGGTTTTTCCGGGTTTGGGTCTAGCGCTTAGGGTTGGGGGCTTAAAGTTTACATTTTGGGGTTTCAGGTTCCATTGGGTCTCGTAAACTTTGAGAGAGTGTTACAAGGATTGTGCAAGGAATTTGAAGCTCTTTACATGGCTGTATACGTTCAAGCTTGCGCTTCATAATCCAGAGGCAATCAAGACTGCGGAAACTTGTCTGTTGGTTCAGGCTCGGGCGTCGCAAGTTTATTTGTAGACGTCCTTCGATGATGACCCTAAACCCTAAACGGTCGGCTGTGTTCTAAACTGCAGAATGTAGAGAACGTCGAAGACAGCCACCCAGGATCTGGACACTATACGGGTCATAGGCTTACGGGTGGCCTCCTCTCTAGACCCTAAACCCCACACCCTACTATAGGGGCCTTAATAATTAGAATATGGTTTTAGAGCCCGTTATACTACAACTACAATAAAGGGATTGAAACCCCGCTGAGGCTTGAAGCCCTGGACCCCAAATACTACTGCAAACAATCAAACCTTAAGTGTCAAAGTGTGGACAACACCGGAACCCAGGGTCATTCCTCCCTGGAAGGCTTCAGCAGCAAATTCATGAGCGCTCCCATCATCGAGGTGTGGGACTTGGTGATGACGTAGAAGCTGTTGGCCCATGGCCAACAGGCTCCGTACGCCGCCGCTTCGATGGGGACCGGGTTGACGCTAAGGAAAGAGGCACCCTGATGGGTGGCGAGCGGCTCCCGAAGGATCTTGCGCATGTCATCCTGCAAGCGCCTGATGGCATCTTGCATCTCCAGCTGGCTGAAGATGACCCCCCCGAGTGGGGACTTCAGCAGGTCCCGAACAAACGCCGCGACGAGGGTGACCTGATGCCCACCTTCTGGTGCGACCTTGAGGTCGCTGTTGCTGCGTAGGAACTCGTTGATGTTTAGGCTTTAGAGTTTAGAAGGTTTCCGATTTAGGTTCTGACGTCAAAGCGATACTCTTTGTCTTGTCCACGGTTCAGCAGGCTCGAAAAGGGCTCAATGCAGGAGCCTTAACACGAAAGGTAAGTACTATGCTCTATTGGTATAGGGACGTTCCCCAGAAAGCCCAATACCCCTTGATTCAGGAATATAGCTTAAACCATAATATGAAGCCCCTAATGGTTTAAGGTATATTCCTTAATTAAGGGTATTGGGCTCTCTGGGTCAGGGTATACTATGACTACTTCTTCAGACCTGTGCACAAACGCGGGGGAAGAAGTCCAGATTTACGATCGCATCATGGTGGGATCTATAAGGGTACCTTTAAGGGGTTCCTTTGAGGGATCCATAGGGTTTTAGGGTTCAGGCATATAAATCCTGCATTACACATAATAAGGAATATACCATAAGCCCCACAGTTTAGGGTTTAGGGTCCTTGAGGTAATGCAGGATGTATATGATCAACCGTATGGTCAGTCACAAGAGAAACACACAGCAGTCCATGACCCACACCCTGTGAAACTCTTCAAAAACCCCTTTGCACCCTAGAGGAAAACCCTACAGAACCTCTGAAGACTCCTCAACCCCAAAACCCCAAATCCTAAACCCCGAAAGCCCTACACCCTGAAAGCTAAGCCGCAAACCCTAAACCTTAAACCCCAATTCCCCACACATTGCTTGGCCGGGTGCTGCATAGACCACGCAGTTCTGGCCGTTGTCCTGCTCGTTTGAACGATGGCTTAGGGTTTCTGTGGATTGCCAAAGGGTTTTAATAGGTAGATGCTGCTTGTGAAGGCTAGCTTGAAGTTTTCATGATTACTAGGAGTTTAAGGGTTTACGTGGGTTTATCTTTATGGCTGAAAGAGGGTTGACGGCTTTGGGATTGCGGGATTGTCGGATGTAACGTCGAGCTGCGGCTTCGAAAGTACAAACGTCCTGGCCTGCCAGGTGCAAGAGTTTCTGCGGTGTTTTATGGGATTTAGGTTTCAGGGTTTCGGGATTAAAGAGTTAGGTTAGGGTTTCGGGCAATGCAACAACAATGATGATGCTGATGAGCATTTGGTGCTGATGATGATGATGACGTCGATGATGGTGATGGTGATGGTGATGATGATGATGATGACGACCACGATCGTAGGGACGATCGGGACGGTGACGGTCACGAGTGAAGGTAGTCAGAACCATATTTCGCTCAACTCACGCATTGAACAGCGACGAACAAGCACAATGGTCCTGATACGAGATGACTCGACTAGACGGTTGCCAGCCCTAAGACGTTAAAGCACCAGATTTTACAACTCTGAAACCTCACCAGTCCTGTCAACTTCAAAAAACATCGAACATCCTAAACCCAAACCCTACCTGAACCCAAATGAGCTACCTTCTGAGGGTTCCTTTTTGTGATTTCCTGATACAAAACCGTAGAAAGGTAAGTAGGTTCTTCAGGGTCCAAGTAAACCCGGGAGCCGTCATGACCTGAAAATCCCAAAGCCCTCAGCAAGAACAAAGCTCTCTCAGTCCTGCAATTGCTCGAAGCGCGAATCATCTTCCGGCGTGCACTCCTGCTTGAAGGTCCCTAAACCCTAAACCCTAAACCCTAAACCTTAAACCCCTAAACCTTAAACCGCCCCAAGCCCCGAACCCTCAAGGCCCAGCACTGCGGGCTTTACAGGGTTCAGCGTCTGCGGCTTAGGGTTTCAGCAACACACCCCCAGCCCGATGTATGAAACTGATGAAGACACCCTGGCCCCATAACCCCAATATTATAGAATCCATTGTAAGGGCCCTCAAAAGGACCCCAGGTTTCTAAATCAGGTTCCTACATGCAGCTTGAAGGATGACGGGGTCAAGAGAGTTTTATGCGAGGCTAGGACTAGCACCCTTGCTCCAGCGCGCGCAATCATGCTTATGTTTCCGGTTATTACGAACCCCCATCCAGCTATTATCGAGTCTTAAGCCCTGCTTCTTAGCTTCCGTCGGTGCAAACACCAGGTTAGGACGTGCCGCATGGAACTTACACCCTGCGATGTTTTTTTCAGACTCAGTTAGGACACCACAGAACCAAAACGCCGGAAGGCTATTGAGAACTTGAGGCTCGACTCACTGGAAGCTGAATTCATTGAATGTCCTTGCCATAGAAACGCAACCCTTGAAGGAGCCCTTCAGGGAACCCTAAACCCTAATAAAGAACCCCTGTAGTGTTGGGTCCCCCTCTTTCGCCGAATGATGTTTGAGGTTTTTGCGCTGAACTTTCAATGCCCAGTCAGTACATGCCGGGCTCCGGGAAATTCTAGCTTTTAGGGCTCTCGGACTTGAAGATCGTATGGCTTTGGCTTCTGCCCGCCCCACCACATTGAACTCTAGACCAAACCTCCGCTGTCCCTCAAGCACCCCAAACACAAACCCACCCAACCCCCTAAGCCATGTTTGAATTTTCAGAGCCGCCAAAGCAGCCTCCAAAAGCACTTCTCCAAGACGCCACAAAGCAAAAACATACCCTCAAAACCTTAACCCGAAAACACGAACCCCCGAAACCCAGAACAATAAACCCTTAAGTCTAAAGCTTGACCTTAGACCCTAAACCCTAAAACTCTAAACCCGTAGAACCCTAAGCCCCTAGTTAAACCCCAAACAGCCAGGCCAGGGGGCTCTGTTGATCCCAGCCAAAGGCGCTAGGAACTCGCATCCTGCAAGGGTACCCCCTAGTTGGAAGGGCAGGGGACTTAGTAAGTAGGCTATAAGTAGGGTTATAATTGGGGTAACTCCATTTAGGGTACTTATAACTCTACTTATAAGCTACTTACTAAGTCCCCTGCTCTTCCAAGTATAGATTAAAGTTCAGGGTTTCTAGGCTTTCGTGCGATTATTTGGGGCTTCGGGTCGAGGCCTACAAAAACTCCCAGGTTTAGGGTATTGGGGATGTAGGGTTCCTTTTTGGGCTTCCTTTCAAGGCCCCCATTTATGCATGGGAAGATCTATAGTGCATGGGGGTTTTGGTTTTTAGGGTTTTGGGGATCTTGTAAGGTAGGATTTGGGTGTTTACCAGGCTAGGGACAAGGGGTTGGGTTTAGGTTTTCGGGTCTGTTTGTGTACTTAAGGGGTTTAGGGCCTCAAATGGGAGTCCCTGACTTTGCAAAACTCCGATCTTGCAGATAAGGACTCAGGGCTTTAGGCGACCATGTCCTAGTCCGTAGGGCCATAGGGGCGGTTGTGCCAAATCAGCAGCATATTCCTACTTGTCCAGTATCCTGGGGTTGAACTAACGGTTAACCTTTGGGAGTATATTAGATTATATAAGGGTGAGGTTATAGTGCCACGAAAAGGCTAGACTGCTGGGTATTGGTCCAACGGTGCTCAGCACGCGGTTTGGGGACTGGGGCCTCATAGGGTGATTGTGCAGCATGAGGGGTCGGCAACCTGAACGCCACACTGGGTAAATTTATGCTCCAGAAGTCATGCACCAGATGAGGAATCACATTGGTAATACCTGGCCCCTAATTATAATTAAGAGGGAAGCGACATGCAGCGAGAATGCCAGATATTACCCAAGGTCCGTACAAACAGAAGCCTTCAGCAAGAACAGTCACAGAGAGGGTCAGGATGGACCATGGATCTTCCACAGCAGATCAGAGTCGAAGCTGAAAAAGGAGCCGGTTTAGGGTTTAGGGTATTATAAGCCAACAAGAACCTTAACTGTAACTGCACTCCGATGAACCTGTCATCTCTACCAGGGGCTGGTGTACCTTGGCTATGTACTAGTGTCATATGTCACCATCGCAACCAGACCCTGCCATACCCTCACGCCTATAGACCCTAGACCCTAAACACTAGACTCACTGTACCCGAAACCCTAAACCCGAAACACCTACACCCGTGTGGGCTTGTAGTAACCCTTCTACCAGCTCTTGCCTTTAGAGTAGCCTTCAAGAGCCCTCAACCCGGCACCCAAACCGCAGACGAATACACTCTATAAGACCCGGAAAGGAACTTAAAGAGACCCTAAAATTAAACCCAACAGGAACTTCAGAAATGGGCTTTAACGAGACTCGAAACCCTAACCCTGAGGGTCCAAGTAGTCCCTACTTATTATGGTTTTTGGTACCCAACATGGACCCAAAGCCCCATAATAGGGAGCACTTGGACCCTTAAGGTAACAGGAACCTCAAGGGACTGCAAGCAATGGGTGCCTGTGCTGTAGGTCTTCGGTATGGACGTCGGGTCTGGGCAGCCTCTTGGCGGATCGCCACCTCGCCGACCAGAGATCTTGAGCAAATGCTCTGATGTTCGGATTTTTAGTAGGAGTTACTTGGTTATAATGACTTAGGGTTCCGTTTAAGGGTTCTGTGGGGTTTGGGGTGTAGGGTTTAGGGTAGGTATAAGTGGGGTTATAAGTCCCCCAATATGGGTTATATGTATAGTTACCCTACTTATAACCCTACTGACAACCCGTGAACCTCCAAGTAGGATTAGGGGGACCCTTGGGAATATAGACCCTCTCAATAAGGTCCTTTTTAAGAGAGCCAGAATCAGAAGTAGGGTTAGGAAGGGTCCCCTCTATGTAATAGGACGTAGGGCTGAGGGGTTAGGGTGTAAGGTTTACAGCTTAGGGTTTACGGGTTCTGGCTTAAGGTAGGCATTGTAAAGTGGGGTTTGGATAGGGTTTGTACGGGTTCTGATACATGAATTTTGGCGATAGATCCTCGTGAAACTGTACAGCGACGTTGTAAAGCCTAAACTATTACTAATCATGCAGATGTTAGACCTCTATACCTTGGAAGACTAAAGCTAACACGCCAAGCCTTATGTTGTTAACACTCAGCCTCAGGCTCACAATAGCCCAACGACATCTGAGCCCTGTTGTAGGTTCTCCTCATAATCCCTGCCGGAGAATTTTGATGTCTCCTGGGCCTGCATAGTCTCTCCAAAACGTAACCCTAAACCCTAAACCCTAAACAACAACTGTCCAAACCCAAAAACCCCACCCCGTCTTCGGCAGTCGTGAGATTCAGGGTTCTTCATCCTCAAACTGTAGACTCTCGCCCCCAAACGCATGTAAACTCCCGAGCCCCTGCATTGCAGGGCTGGGACCGAACCCGTGATCCAAGCTACTGCAACAAAGCCAAACTCGGGACTTACTTACTCTGCAGTCCTTGTAATCAGAATAGAGTTTGGGGGGCGTTGTACTATAAGTATTATAGGGAGCCCCCCCCCCCCAAAAAAAAAAAAAAATAGTTTCGGTAATTACTTTGGCCCCTTTTTTGGGGCTCGGTCTTCAAGGGGTCGGCTTTGGTGTCGGTTTTGGGGCTTGTGGGTGCAGGCTTGAATGTTCGGTCCTACGGTTGATGATATGAATCCTGCATTACCCGCAATAAGGAATATACCACAATTCCCATAGTTTAGGGTCCTTAAGGTAATGCAGGATTTGTATGATCAACCGTACGGTTTGGATCTGAAGATTCAACTCGGAATGGCCTCTGCTACTTTACTTGAGCAACGATGTGCATGCCGATAGCTTTCAGGGATTAAGGATTCCACTTGTTGTTTGTGCTTACCCATAGGCTCCATAGTAGTCCCTTTTGGGGATTCATATTTAGGATCCTATAAAGTAACCCCAAGAAGGAACTATGGAGCCTATGGGTAGGCCTGTGTTGAAGGCTTAAGGCCTACAAGTTCAGGTCCAGCCACTGGGATTGAACATCAATTTCGCTTGACTCCAAGGGTAAAAGGAGGGACCCTTAATAAGGACCCCTAGGTATATACCCTTAAAAAATGGCTATTGCATACCCATTATGATAGCCCATTATAGGGCAGGGGGTCCCGATTAAGGGTCCCTCCTTTTCAAGGGAAATTTTCCCCTTTGACTTGACCGGCTGTACACTCCAACCCTCAGGGCCTGCGTACACGCACTGGTTGCACCTTGGTGTCTTCTATGAACCCCAAAAAAAACCTTGATATAGGGGCTTATTAATTAGAACAAGGTTTTGGGTTAAGTATTTAATGCCAAGTTATACGAAGGAATCCCCCAAATGGTATTAGGTAATTAATTATTTAGGCCTCCATGGTCGCCCTATGTTCAAAGTGACTTTAGAAACAGTTGGGGATGCCACATTGCGTCTGATATGTTGTTCTGCGAGTCCAATACAAACTGTTTCGCTCATAAAGCGTCCTCAAAACTGGAACCTACAAAATTGGTAACAAACTCCATGGACATATCGGATGTAGCGCTTGCAGGCTTTAACCATGAGCCCCTGTTTTGACAAGTCCTCTTGTCCAAACGAATTGGGATCTCGGAGCTTTCAGTTTTCCAGCGAGCTTTTGAAGCCTAAACCCTAAACCCCTAATCCCTAAACCCGAAACCCCTAGACCCCTAAACCCTAAACTCTAAACCCCTAATGCCTAAACCCCAAGACCCCTAGACACCTAAACCCTAGACTCGAAACCCCAGACCCCCAATGCCTAAACCCTCAAACCGCTAGGCCCCTAAACCCTAAACCCAAACCCTCAAACCCTAAACTTCATGATGGAACCCCAAAGGCTAATCCCGGCTGAACCCAAAATCCTCAAAACTACAGGGGTCTAAATTTAAATGATAAGAACAGGGGTCAGGAGTGTACTGTATAAATACGTGTATATATATATATACACACACTATATGTATATCTATACAGATATATGTGTGTATATATATATATATATATATATACACAGTAATATAAGGACCCCAAGCAGACTGTCTAGCTGTCGCGAGGTCTTCCAGGCTTCTGTAGGGCTTTAGTTTATAGAAGCCTGAACGATGAGGTAAGGGTTTGTCGGCTCGAGAGTCTGATAAGTAACTCCGTTACACACGGGGACCCCAAGGATACTTGGAGGGTCGGGGGACTTAGTATGTAGGTTATAAGTAGACTTATAAGTGCCTTAAAGGGACCCTAATTGGGTACTTATAAATTATAGATCTCTAAAATAACTACTTACTAAGTCCCCCGACCCTCCAAGTAATATCAACAAATTTCCAGACCTCTGTATTCTGTTCGCGATTAGCGTCTATTTGGACTGAACAGCAGCGGGCCGTTCAGGTTTAGGCATGTTTAAGCGGCAGGGTAGCGCTCAAGACTAGAGTTATTAGTCATGATAAACTCAACGGCGATATCACCATCTTAAGGTTCCAGTGTTTCAGTCAGACTTCGGGAGAATAAGCCCTGAACCCTAAACCTAAAAACCCTAAAGCCTCCGCCAAGTAGCAAGTCCTGATGCTGCTGTGGAGTGAAGATCATGTCCGTCGATGCAGGGTCGATGTACCTATAAACACGCTTAGGGCTGAGCAGTTAGCTTCGGGTATGGGTTTTTCCGTGAGCTTCGAGCTTAGAGATTTGGACTTGGGGATGGGGCGGTGTGGATCAGTGTTTGGGGTTGCGGCTTAGGGTTTAGCGTTTCGGGATTTATGGTGTTGTGTTTCTGGTTGACTAAATCTCCCTTACAGTAACAAATCAGTAACAGCTGCAGCATGGGACCACATGTGGGCATGTTAGGGCGAGTGTTTCGTTACTAACAAGGTTATGTTGTAGCTGGGGTTGACCTAAGCTATACCGACCCGGAAAGTATCAAAGCCTGCAGCCTAACCAACACTGGGCGAACAAAAACGAGACTCTGATCGGCTGGTAGTATACGACCGACCCTGTAACAGCTGAATAAAACGCAATATAATACCGGTCCCCTAAACCCTAAACCGAGCATTCAACACCGAAACCCTTTCCGACCTTCCTTGTCACTCCATGAGTACGCGAGAAAAACAAAACCTGAAACTCCAAATCCTAACGGTTGATGATATAAATCCTGCACTACCCATAATAGGGAATGTATGGGAATTATGGTATATTCCTTGTTATGGGTAATGCAGGATGTATATAATCAATCCTAATCTTCATCTCCAAAACCTTAAAGCCTGAAACCTCATCCCCCCCGCTACATCTTCTCTCCGAAGTGCTGGGTCTTCAGGTCTGCAGCACCGCAGATTCCATCATGGGTGATGTCCTGGCACCGTTCTCGGTTCTTACACAACGAGATTCTTAGGATGCCATCAGGTTCTGTGAGATTCTGGGGTGGCTCCATGAAGATACGTACTTTGAAGAGTTGGGCCTATGCAACTACAGTCTAAGTACTTCGGGAATGGGTTATGCTTCGTTTCTGGAACTCCAAGTTGCGCTTTGAGGTTTAGGACCTTGCCGTAACCGGGTGTCCTGTACTAGGGATTGAGTTGTTGCTACATGCTTGGAAAATGCCCCTAAATCCTAAACCCCAAACCCCTAAACCCTAAACCCCTAAACCTAAACCCCTAAACCCTAAACCCCTAAACCCTAAACCCCTAAACCCCAAACCCCTAAATCCCTAAACCCTAAATAGCATTCTCAAAGCTCATCGAACCAGAGATCCCAAGCCTCACATCCCAAATCTAAACTACTATTTGCTTAAGAACCCCCCCAAAAATAAAATAACAAAAATAATCCCTATATTACCCCCATAAGGAATATATTTTTTATTTTTTGGGTGGTTCTTAAGCAAATAGTAGTAAATATGGGAATTATGGGTATATTCCTTATTATGGGTAATGCAGGATTTATATCATCAACCGCAGCGGTCTGCACCGGGAGCACTCCGCTGGGGACATCCGTTTGATGATATGAATGCTGGTTTTTCCCATAATAAGGAATATACCGATAAGTCTCATAATTAGGGTCATTAACGTCATGCAGGATTTATATCATCAACCATCTTGCACATTAGGCAGCCGAACATGTGGCCACGCAATGCTGAAGGAGCAGCGAGGACTGACTGTCTGCAAGGTTCGGCAAGCACCGCGTCAAAGGGCGAGGAAGTTTCACAAGAAGACTGGCCCACTTGGCCACTGCCGATTGTTGGTCCCTCCTGTTTCTTGGCGCCTGAATCGTTGCTTCTCGTTTTTATCGCTTGTGAGGTGCAAGCTTGGAAGAATTGCCCCTCGCTGTGGGATGTGGATCCCTAACGTGAACTCTACCTGGGAGAAACAACCTAGACCCCCCAAACTACCTTCTAATATGCCCCGAATACCTACTACTAAGGGCCATTAGGGCTCCATTGAAGGACCGTTGGGGGTCCTCGGGATATTGTGCGACGCAGCCCGAAAAAGTTGCGAAACTCCTAACAGCTAAACCCATCATCCCTAGATTTTAAACCCTAACACTTCACCGTACCTCTAACCCAAAACCTGAAAAGGCCCTTACCCGGTGGCTCTAAGGACTCTCATATTAAGGCTTTTGGGCCCAAAGACCATACTATATCAGGTTTTGGGCTACTTCTGATCCCCAGGGTTAGAATGCGGCCTCCCCAAACATGTGCAGCTTCATGTTGTGCATGAAGCCTGCAAGGCCGAAACGGAAAGCTTCTTGCAGTCTTGAGGGTCTCGGGGGCTCTTAGGAGTTCTTGTCGGGTTCGTTTTAAGGGTTCCTTTAAGGGATCTATAAGGGCTACTACCAGGGTACTATAGGAGTTTAGGCTTTAAGGTTTTTTTTGAGGGGGGGGGGGGGGGCTCCTTTTTCCATCTGCAGGAATCCACAGGTAGAAGGCCATTCGGCCAGGAGGACTATACATATGTTTGAGGGTCTAGGGTTTAGAGTTTAAGGCGGTTTAGGGTTTAGTAATGGGGGAGGGTGTACGTCGTAGTTTGATTGAGGGTCTACCAGGACCCCGCCAATGGCCCTTTAATGGAGCCCTTATGGTCCTTAATAGTGGGTATTTAGGGTTAATTATTGTACATTAGAGGGTAGTTGGGGGGTATATTGGGGTTTAGGGTTTGAGGCAGTTTAGGATTTTGGGGAGGTTTGGCTCTGGATGTGCGATGTTGGATCAAGGGCTTAGGGCTGCCATTGTGTGGGACTTTGGTTTGAGGGTAATGGGTTTTGCAAGGGAAATGAGCTGTTTGGAAGACGTTTCAGCCTTGCCCCAAGTACAGCAAATCTTGAAGGACCCAGCAGGCAAAACTTCCGTCTACATGAATGCGATGCTTCTGTATGCAGGTATAGTCCGTCATGGCCATGTGGGAAGCTCACAGTGCTGAACAACTCGATTTCGCGGGGCCTACGTTATGCAATCTGGGTATTGCTATGCCGCTATGCAAGGAAAGAAAAGCGAAAGTGCTCCCAGCAGCTAAACTGGGTTGGCCCACTGAAGCCTCAAACAAGTATTCGTAAATAAGGTCCTCTTGGGCACAGTAAGGAAAACGTGCTACCGTCACAGTTGCCTACCTAGTAAATCAAAACGCTAAACCCAAAAACCCTCAACCTGTCTAATCTCTAAACCCCCTGATGCTCTTCTCCTGTTCGCCTCGGATCTTCTGACAAAGAAACCAAAGACAATAAGACTGCACACCGCTTGAGCTACACCAAATTGGGGTCCCTTCTGGCATCCTGTTGCAAAGGTGCCCTACCCCCCCCACCCCCCCCACCCCCCCCTACCCCCCCCCCCAACCCCCCCTCATCCCCCCGTACTACTTTGGGAGCGCTAATTCAGAGAACTACGCAGAAGCTAAAGCAAGCGCCTGTAGGCTGGGTTATATAAAGGGAACTCCAGAAAGTTGGAATATGGTTTCAGGGTAGGATACCCTATAATTTGCCATAAAGGGCTTAGGATAATCATATTCTAACTTTCTGGCTTTTACTTTAATTATATAGTTTCTCAGAGTGGTTGGATTGCTCTATAAACACATGCTGGTCCCTGGTCACAGCTGCGGCCTGGATTCTTGTTGACGTGCCTGAACATCGGCATTTCGGAGCTTCCGGGCTCTCATGGGGAATTCGGAATGAACGAGCTTGCACCTGTTGTTGCTTGGCACCAGGGACTCGAAACACATCCCCGATTTCAGGAACATAAAAACCTACATCATACGAAGGATCGCTCTGTAACCAGAGGTTTTATTTTTCCTAAGTAAAAGCTTTTGGAGTCTCTGGCCTTGAAACTTAGGAGGTAGGCGCTCGGAGTTTTGGTGGCCTGGGATTCAGGGGGTTGGGAGGCTGCTGTGCTAAACTCCTAATGAGGAGCGGCCTCAGATCCCAGAACAGGATGTTGAGATCAACTTGTTTCCAAAGTAAACGAAGCTTAGTTTTATCACTACTTGTTCCATCCTCCATGCTAACAGTGCCCGAACAAACAATCCTACGCTCATCAGTACGCACGACGAGCCTATGCACTATACACACTCATCAATACCCTGAAGCCAAGGCTCGTGTGAAAGCAGGCCCAAGACAGATGGGGACATGTCTTAAGTTTTCGGGCCAAGACCCTAAACCCTAAACCCCTAAACCGTGGCTCAGGGCTTTGGGGGCGTCTGGCGGGAAATCCTCGGCTTGTAGTCATTTGCACGGACACGCTGAAGCTCTGGGGCGTTATAGGTCTTAGGGTTCCTTGTTGCGACGATACATAAAAGAAATTAAAGGGAACCCAAAACCCTATTCTAATCATTAAGGCCCGTGCATTATAGGTCTTGGGGTTGTGCTTGTCGTCTAGGGGTTCTAAGGCTTGGTGCAAAGACGTGAAACTGAGCGCGCAAGGTGTGGGGCCTAGGGCTAACAAGGCCAAGCGTCTTAACGTTGACATTGAAGAACACGCACTCATCGTCACCTGAGAGATTCAGGGCTTAGAGCTTCGGGTACAAGGCTCATGGTGTTTAGGGCCAGGGCAAGGGGTTTAGCCTTACCCTATGTCCATGCAAACAGAGACCCTTAACCCTAGATGGGGAAGAACCTAGCAGCATTGGTATTCGTGCTTCCCTTGTGCCTATCAGCAACTCTCAAGATTTTTCCCCGACCACAGAAATGCACAGGAACGCCCCTAGCAAGCAGCCCGAATCACCGAGCCGTTGCAGCTTACAGCTTCTGGGGTTTAGGGAAACCCTGCGCCCTTGCCCCTCGCAAGCCCTAAGCATGTAGAGGCACCAAAAGGAGCATCCCACAAAACGCCGACGAGGATTTGTTCTTTTGCTTCGAGCCATGGTGTCCCAAAACCAAGACCAATATCACAGGGGCCTGAAAAATGCTTGAAAGGGTTTGCGTTTAGGGTTTATGGGGGTTTAGGGTCTGTCTCAGGAAAATGGAACAAGGACACCGACGGAATACTATTGGGTGCTTATTTTGGCTTCCATTTTAACCATCCAAGGGCCTGAAGGTCTGGATCCGATCTCTGAATGCTGGCGTCCTTGTCAAGCCCCAAACTGTCCTCTTGTGAATTCCCTATAGCCTCATAAGCCTCCAATCCCTCACCTGTAAAGTCTAAACCCATATAACATATGGGTAGTTCTCCAAACTAGGGCCCCCTTTCGGTCCCCAATGTAGTATGGCACTCTTTATAAACGGCCCCTAATTAAAAGGGACCCTAATCCAGAGAACTAGACAATAAAGACTTTGCCCAACAAAAAACTGAACAAACAACCTCTTGCACCCTCCAAGTTAACGGCTGAGTACCCTAGCCCAGAAAAGGCTAACCTTTTCAATTATGCTAAGAATATACGGTTAAAGGTTACCCAGTCAGCCCCTAAGCCAGCCTAAACCCTAAACCTTAAACCCTGAACCCTAAACCCTTATATAACCTAAACCCTGAACCCTAAACCCTAAACCTTAAACCCTCAACCCTAAACTCTAAACCCTAAACCCTGAAACCTAAACCCCTAAAGCCCAAACCCCAAACCTTCCGCCCCTGGGATCCGATCTCTGAATGTTGACGCCCTTCTTGTCGTTTGTGATGGCACCCGAATCAGGCTCCACCTGAAACGGTTTAGAGGTGTAGAGGGGTTGTGAGGCTTAGAATGTGGGCTTTAGGGGTTTAGAGGTGTAGGGTTGAGAGGCTTAGGGTGCAGGGTTTAAGGGTTCAGAGGTTTAGGGTTCAGACGTTTGGGGGTTTAGGGGTTTAGAGGTTTAGGGCTTAGGGTCTAGAAGGTTTAGGGGTTTAGAGGTTTAGGAGTTTAGGGTTTAGACGATTAGGGGTTTAGGGGTTTACTGTTTAAAGTTTTAGGGTTGAGGGTTTAGAGGTTTAGGGCTTAGGGTTTCGTGGTTTAGGCAAAGAGGCGGCTGTCGGCTTAAAAATCGGGTTGGTATCTTCAGTGTTTAGGGCTGCACTAGGTATACGCTGTGCTTTTCATGAGGGCGGGTAGGGTTAAGGATGCTAAACCCTATATTAAAACCCTAGACCTTTGGCTATACCCCCCTCATAACCATAATAAGAACAAGTTTTCTAAATATTTTCTTGGGTTTTATATGAATAAAAAAACAACTCCTAAGGAGACTATTAGTTGGGGGGGACGGAGCTTTAGGATCGAGGGCTTGGGGGGCTAAGTTTGATGTTTCAGGGCTTTGCGTTTAGGGTTCAGGGTTTTTGAAGGCTTTTTTTTCTCGGAAACTCTGTCAGAACTCGGTCGGGCGCACTCCGCATGCAGATGTGGGCTTAGGGTTCAGGGGTTTAGGGTTTAGGGTAGGGCTTGGGGGTTAGGATGTAAGGCTTGTAAGACTTTAGGGGGATTTTAGGCTTCCATGTGTTGTGAAGACTTTTGGAATGCCTGGCGCTCAAGCTTCCACTTGTATTCTAACATGTGGGGCCGGCGATGCAGGCTCAACCTAAGCCAAACGAACCGAGCAGCAAAACGTAACTAAAGCCTCAAACAACTCACCGAATCGCGATAACAAAACAAAAACTCAACGAATCCTTACAGGACCCTAGATCAAACGTGCTGAAACCTGAAGAAGCTGTGATGATGTGGGTTTGGAGTTGCATGCCAAGGAGAGGGCCCAGAGGAAGAGGCTCTCGAGGAACACAATTTGGGGGTAGTTCTCTAAGTTCGGGCCCCTTTTCTAGACCCAAGAGTAACCCTAGGAATACATGCCTAGGAATAGAAAGGGCGCCCTTTTTGGGTTTAAAGGGCCCTTAAGAAGGGAATAAGGGCCTACTCTAGGTCCTGGTTTTGGGACGAATAGTCCGGCAATAAAATGGGACCCTAATTTACAAAACTAGAACTACCCACATAGGGACCTTAGTAAATGGAAGTGGGTTCCTGTTCAGGGGATGCGTTTTTCAGAGTTTTGTCGGAGTCTGAAGAATGAAGTGAGCATCGGGTTTGGAGGGATGGGTCACAGACTTCTATGGTAGCCCGAAGTGCTCTCAGATCCTACAGAGCAAGGGAGAGGCGAAAGAATGACACCCTATGATGTACCTCAAACCTGTTAGCCCATACAAAATGCCCTAAACCCTCAAGCGTGGCCCTAAACTCAAATGAATATGCATCCAAGGGTGCAAAGACTCCGCCAGTCGTCTCAACTGTTCGATCGTTGATGAAGATGGTGGCGTTTCCGTTGATCCTTTGAGCAGCAGACCAAACTCCAGTTGAGTTTAGAGCTACGCGGCTAATCTAGGGGCATGAATAATTAGAACAGGTTTTTGGGGCCCATTATACAATAAAATTAAAATAAGGACCCCCCCCAAAAAAAATGTACATATATATATATATATATATATATGTATAAGTAGTTATTAAGGCCCCTATAGTGGGGTTTAGAGCGACAGGGACCAGTGCGGTCAAGGAGCCGAGCTGCCAGCGCTGTTGCCACCGAGTTCCGTCCACGGCTGTACTGACCTCGAAAGGCGCTATGCACTGAATCCTACTGAAGGGGTTTAGGGTTTAGGGATTTAAAATCACCATCGTTTCTAGGGTTTAGGCGTTTAAAATTACCATGACCTGCCCTGATGACCTGATATGCGCGAATATAGGAAGCAACCTAGGGCCTTTACTAGGGTTCCATCAGGGTACTATAATCATGTAGGAAGCTGAATCAAGAAACCTTGGGCCTTTATTGGGTTCCTTATATGAATGCTATTATTTTGGGGGTTACATGCCCAGGGTTTCTTAATCATGTTCCTACATGATGCACTGAACCCTACTTGTAAAATTACCATGACTTGCCCTAATAATCTGATATGCAATGCTCCCATAATCTGTCCTGATATGCAATGATTAAAGCCAAGAGGGCACGGCAAACAAGCAGATTATGGTAGATTTGCATGCATGGAACCCCACGAAAAGGCACAACGGCTTGGTCAATATTGGGGTCTCAATAATTAGAACAAGGTTTTGCGGTTCATTCTACTATAGTTTTTGACTTATAGGTTACAAGGAAGCAAACCCTGAGGGATGGAATGGGCAGTTTTTCAGGCTTCTAATGATTTTCAGAACGGTGCTACTCAACCCTGAGCAAGCATGCGTTGCAGGGCTTTCACACGAGGCCCCTTTAATTGAACCCTTAAGGTTCCCTTTTTTTCTGCCGGAGAGCATTGGACGACTGTTCCATAAGACATAAATCACCAAAACCCTAAGCTCCCTAAACCCTAAACCTTAATATAACCCTGAAACCTGAACCCCTAAAGTTCCCTCTTTTCTCTGCAAAACCTAAAACCTATCCCATAGATCCCTGGCAGGAGCCCTCAAAGGAACCCTTTAAGGGGAACCCTTACAGATCCCTTTAAAGGAGCCCTCTTTTCTTTCTAAAACCCCAAAATCCTAACACCTCATACCCCTAAACCCTTACCCAGGGAGCCCAATACCCCTTGATTGAGGGATATACCTTAAATCACTCGGGGCTTCATATTATGATTTAAGCTATATTCCTTAATTAAGGGGTTTTGGGCTTTCTGTGTAGTCCCTTTAAAGGAGCCCTCTTCTTCTCTGCCGGAGAGCATTGGAAGACAACCTAAACCCCTAAACCCTAAACATTATCATTAGAATCCTAAACCCGAAGCTCCCTAAACCCTAAACTCCCTGAACCCTGAACCATGAACCCTATAACACCCTAAGCCCCCTAAAGTTCCCTCTTCTTCTCTGCCGGAGAGCATTGGAAGACGTGGAGCTCGAAGCTGCCGGCGCAGCGCGCGGCGCGGGCGTAGCGGTGGATGCCGGTGTCTCAGGGCTTTTTGGGCGGTTTTTGAGGGTCCTTTTTAGGGATCTTTCAGAGTTTCTATAAGGGTATTACAGGGGTACTAGAACTTAGAGCTTCGGGAGGTTTTTGGGGGATTTTGGGGGTTCCTGTTTAGGGATGTCTAGGGTTTAGGGTTTAGGGATTAGAGCTTCGGGCTTTTTTGGGGGCTTTTGGGGTTCCGTTTTGAGGGATCTATAAATATTCTATAAGGTTACTATAATATATGGGGGGTACTACGACTTAGAGTTTCGGGCGGGTTTTGGGGGGTTTAGGGGTTTCTTTAAGGGGATGCTTAGGGTTTAGGGTTTAGGGTTTAGGGTTGGGGATTAGAGTTTCGGGCGGTTTTGGGGATTCAGGGGGTTCCTTTAAGGGATTTATAATCTATAAGGGTTACTATGGGGGTACTACAGTTTAGAGCTTCGGGCGGTTTGGGGGATTTAGGGGGTTACTGTTTAGGGATGTCTAGGGGTTAGGGGTTCTGGTAAAGGATGTACTACAGGGGTTTTGGGTTTAGGGCCAAGTTTAGGGCATTAAGGGTTTAGGGTTATCTAGGGTTTGGGGCTTTAAGGGTGTTTATGGTTTAACTTCGAGCGGTTTTGGGGGGGTTCCTTTCAGGTTGCTATTAGGGTTAAGGGAAATTTAGGGTTTAGCTTCGAGAGGTTTCAAGGAAATTTAGGGTTTAGGGAACTTTAGGGTTTAGGGAACGTCAGGGTTAAGGCAAATTCAGGGTTTAGGGTTTCGGGACTAGGGTTTAGGGCTTGGGGTGCAAGGTTTGCTTTTAAGAGTACTACAAGGGTTTAGGGTTTGGGGAATCCTTTAGGGATTTAGGGGTTCTGTTTAAGGGCTTAGGGTTTAGGGATGTTCAGGTTTAGGGGTTAGGTTAGGGATGTTTCGGGTTTAGGGGCTTCGGGCCGGTTTCGGGTGTGTAACCTAAGCGGGCCTCAGCTTTAGAAGTGGAGTAGGTGCCGATAGGGCTGTGAAGGATTTATTGCAGATTTGGGGTTTGTTGCGTTCACGCGTTTTTTTCATTGACTGGGGTTCGTAGGTTTGAATACATGGGTCTCAACTCTTAAAAGAGGGCTCTGGGGATTGCCTCTATGGACTCTGTGAAAGCATCCTCTGACACGCTCTTGACAAGTTCTGTAAAGGCTTTTGGGCTTTCAAGTTAAGGCTATACTAGGCTTCTGGTAGTTCAGTGGTGGTTAATATGGCCTAGGCCTTGCTAGTGCAGGGCCTTGGGCTTTAGGGTTTTGGATTGGGGGATTTACGTTTTCGGCTTTAGCTCAACTGGCTGAGAAACCTGCCAGGTCTTTAGAACTTCAGACTTTTGGGCAAAATTACTGGGGACATGGCTTGAAAGCGACTAAAGGGCCCTTTTTTTAGCTATTGAAGTCTAGACATGGTTGCCTCATTGCCCCACGACGCAAAACTCCAAGAGTATCTTGAAGTTAAGGGTTTGAGGGGTTTAGGGTTTAGGGTTTAAGGATCTTGAATTACATACCTGCACAAAGAAAGCTAAAAGACCCTGTGTTTGGCCGATGGCTTCGAGTTTTGGGGGTCAAGTTAGACCTTCTGCGGTCGAGGCTTTGCAGGACCGCAAAGAAGAACTGAAACCAGGTGTATTCCCAGGACCCTTAAAGGGCCCTTTGATAGAGGTCTTATGGCCCTTAATAGTGGGTATTTGGGGCATATTAGAGGGTAGTTGGGGGGTCTAGGTCACTGTTGGCTTGCAGGTTGCAAACTTTAGGCCATTAAGCTATTAGTTTAGGGTTGCAGGAAGCTTTCTAAGACCTTTCATCCTGAACAAGCAGACGGAAAACCATCGAACCATTCTGTCTATGGGGGGTGCCACGGTTGAAACCATACAAACCTTATCTAGGATACCCAGTAACCTAAGAATAAAAAGGCCTCTCTTTTTGGATTGGGTAACTTTATAAGGAACCTAGGACTACAAAAAGGGAATAAGGGTACTTCTGGGCATCCTAGTTATAGTGCCAATGAATTCAGGGCTTAAGGTGCTGTAGAAGCCTTGTAGCACCCATGACCCAGACACCTACATAAAGGCTTCCCTAAAGGAAACCGTTGTCCCTAAACCATAAACCCTGCAGCCCCAAGCCCTATACTCCTGGCCCCCTAAACCCTAAACCCTATACTCCTAGCCCCTAAACCTTACAACCTACACTGGAACCATTACAGTGCAGCTTGCTGGGCTACGCTATTGTCCCCAACGGCCTTGGAAGTTGAAACGGTTCTTCGGGCGCCAGCTCTTCCTTAGAAAAGAACAGGGCAAAATAGGTTTAGGGTCAACCAAAACATAAATGTAGATAGATATAGAAGCCTTAAGGTATACGATTTTATAGTTCTTTGAAGGGACCCCAAAACAGTATAGGTATAACTATTCCGGCCTCTATACTATAGGGTTATGGGAGTATTAGGCATAGAGTTTTAGGGTTTTAGGGTTACAGGGTTATAGGATTTAGGATGTCCAGGCCCCGAACCTCTCGTACAGTATGGCGCTGCGTCGCAGAACCCTTATATGAAAAACAAAACAAATAAAGCCGGCAGCCAGCCAAAAAAGCCAAGGGCTCAGGGGAAAGAAACCCTCAACCTGATCCACCCTAACACCCCAAAACCCTCAACACCCGAAGCCCTAGCCTCCTCAAACCCTGAAACTCTGTCCTCAGAATCCCTCTGACGGGTCTTCCTGTGAGGGCGGTGGTTGCGGCTGCCCAACCACCCCAAGCTCCAACCCTAGAAGCTCAGCAACCTGTGGGTAGTTGTCAAATTTTGGTCCCTTTTTGGGTCCTTAATATAATACGGCACCTAATATTTAGGGTACCCAAAAAAGTATCCTAATTTTGACAACTACCCCTGTATTGAGTCTACTGCATGGGCTATGGGAACGGTACTAACTATAACTATCGGCCTTTTCATTCGGTTTAAGGAACAGGAACCGGGTTTAAAGGTAACTGGGCTTCTCGGGTAAGTTAGCCTAGGTGCCCTACCAACGACAGCGGTAAGAGGCATAAGCAGCAACAATAGTAAGACAAATGCTAGCAATACCACTGGTAGCTTATGATACTAGAGCGATAAATACTTCTAGACCCCTAAAGCCCTATAGTCTATGTTGTAATTCCTTTTTGGGTTAACCAGTTTTATGGTTAGCATCCTATCGAGGAGATTTTGGTTAACCAAAGAAAGGAACTACAATGGAGACTAGCAGGATTCTGGTCATCAGCCGTATCAACAACCCATCATGGACCCAATAACCATCAAAACTTCCTGTGCCGTACACCCGTGCTGCCCAAGGCTCCTCAACCTCCGACCGCCACACCCCAACCATAAACCCCAAACCCCAAGAACCCAAAGCTTGCGGACCCGAAAAAGCCCCCCGAATCCTCAACCGCTAAACTCTAAACCGCAAAGTCCTGAGCCCGACTCCCCCCCCCCCCAAAAAAAAAAAACTACAAACCCTGTAACGAACCCTAAACCCCAAATACGAAACTCTAAAACCTAGACCGCTAAGGCTTGCAAAGGCTCGTGATATGAGGGTCACCCCAGAAGCGACACTGCTCGAAGCGGCTGTCTTTGTAATTACCTCGGGTTGGCACGAATTGGGGTTCAGAGTGCAGGTTTTAGGGTTGAAGACTGCTTCCGGACCTTGACTTGGAGGTTCATGGGTAGTTATAAGTAGGGTAACTCTACTTATAAACCCATATCAGGAGACTCATGACCCCACTTCCAACTACCCATGAACCTCCAAGTTCGAGTCTTCAGGTTAAGGTTTAGGGGTTGGCCATTCGGGTTGAGGATTCGGGCTCTGTTTGGATTCAGCTGTTTCTTATCGATGCATGGACTCTACCCAGAGAGCCCCATACCCCTTAATTAAGGAATATCGCGTACATCATAACATGAAGCCCCTAATAATTGAAGGTATGTCCCTTACTTAACGAATGAATACAGGTTAAACCATAATGTGAAGCCCATTACGATTTAAGGCATATTCCTTAAGGGGTATTGGGCTCTCTGGGTACAGCTACAGTGTAGGCTGATGAAGCTGGTGGTTGGAGAGCCCAGAAGCCTCTTCATCCCCCAAGCTTACACGTCTTGCTTATTGTCAGCACTTCGAGAGTTGGGGTTTAGGTTTTCATCAGGGTTTAAGCTACGGGTCTAGGGTTTAGGGGTTAGAGGCTCAGGGATGAAAGGCAACTTGAACACGGGGCTTTCGCCTAAATTCGCAGAAGGTAGTTCAAGAAGGCTTCCGTCCAAGGGGCCAATCTGCGCGCAAAGCTCGCAATCAGCAGGCAGCCCGGTTGTCGTTGTCGTCGTGGAAGTATGCGCCTGCGCCACCGGTTACCTCGACCCTACATTTCCAAGTAGGGGAAATTCCTGCACCCTACACCTTTAGTAGGATTTGCTCCTGCAATGGAGCCTTTAGTTATGTAAAACTGACAAAAGTCAAAAGCTCACATGAAACACCTTGTGCCACCTTACAGAGTTCTTTACAGAGTGCTGTAACAAAACTCATCCTCTGATACATAGCCCCACCAAACTCATCAAAACCCACGAAAACAAACTTATGAAACTCAGAGCCAGAGCCCAAAGACTATTATATGACCTCACAGAAGCTCATGCAAATCCAATCAAGGCTTGAAAAGGCCGGTAGAACCCCACCCTCCCCGTTATGAGGGCTTTAAGAGTCAGAAGTGGATCTAGGGGTGTATGAGCGTGTGTACTATATCCAGGAACGCCCTCAGAATGATGCGTATAGCCTCAATGTTTCATAGGTGGCTTCAGGCCCCCAAACCCTAAACCCCATTTAAACCCCTCATTCCCTTAACCCTGAACCCCTAAACTTCTAAACCCTAAACCCCGAACCCCAGAACACCGAAGTCCCTTAACCCTAAAACCCCAAACCCCTTAGCCTGGACAGTAAATTCTCATTACACCCCGAAACCCTGCCGTAACCCCAAAAAACCCTAGAACACTGAAGTCTCTTAAACCCTAAACCCCTAAACCCCTTAGCCCTAAAAGGCCGTAAAGGCCCCGAAAGGCAGCGAGCACCCTAAACCCTAAACCCTAAACCCCTAAAACCCTAAACCCTAAACCCCTAAAACCCTAAACCCCTAAACCCTAAACCCCTAAAGCCCTAAACCCTAAACGTGTCTGTCCGTCCCTCCCCCAGGACCGGCCTGTCCCTCGCACACGTTCTTGCCAGTCCTGAACAGATACAGTAGAAGCCAGAAAGTTGGAATATCATTATCGTAACCCCTTCTAAGGTAAATTAAAGGGGATCCTACCATTAATCCATATTCCAACTTTGTGGAGTTCCCTGTAATGTAGGGTGTAGGGGTTCAGGGCTTCAGGGTTTAGGGAATAGGGATTAGGGCTTTAGGGTTTAAGGTTTAGGGCTTAGGGATTGGGGCTTTAGGGTTTGGGCTTTAGGGTTTTGGGCCCTTTTCCACCTGCGGAACACATGGAACCCCTTACCAGGAACTTAGGTTTACCTAGGGTGTTAGGCTTTGGGGCTTAGTGGTTTCTAGCCGGTCCTTTACAAATAATGTAGGGCGCAGGGCTGTAGGGCTTAGGGCTTAGGCTTCAGGGTTTAGGGTTTAGGGGTTGGGGTTTAGGGGTAAGGCTTCGAAGTTGTAGGGTGTGGGGCTTAGGGTTTTTTCAAGTAACATAAGCGCCTTCGTGATTCGAAGAGGGTTCCTCTAGAATCCTTCTATAGAACCTTAACCGGCAGCCTTTACTCAGTTGCTGAGTTCGTAAGCCCCAAAAAGTGTACACTTTCAGTTTTATAGAGGGTAATATTGTCCCGCCCAAAAAGTGTAAGAGTGTATCCACTCAGCTACTAAGTTTACAAAGGCGATGTCAGGCTATGCGGTTTAGGGGTTTACACGGGCTTCGACAGGCGGAGTTTCAGTGCGGACGCTGTTGGAAGCCTGGAAAACCCTAAAACAAGGGAGACCCAGGCAAGGAATGTTAGGAGTTGGGGTTCAGGGTTTAGGATCATAATTTAAATTGTAATGGATCCTTGTAACCCAAATTAATCCCGAAGCTTCATACAATTCATATACATACTTTGTGGTATGTTCCTCAAGCCTTGGTTTAACTGGGCTCTCTGGAGAGGCTGATACCTTGAATAGGACAAGAGACAATTGCGATCGTCGGGATTTAAGGCTTCTTTTGAAGGCTTGCTTGTCGAGTAGTGTAGGGAAACTAACCGTTCACCTTGTCTGCCCAAGCTCTAAAACCTAAGTCCCAACCACACCTGCTGTAAGTATTGTGGGCACTAGATTCCGGTCGATCGCGGTCAATGACACCTCAAGCAAACATCCCGCCTACCTTGGGCTCTTGAAACTGCAAAAAAAGTATTCAGCAACCCTCCAACTGTACTGGCTTCGTAAGGTCCGAAAAAGTTCTTTGTCACCGGTTTCAGGTAGCCTACACCCGACACCGTTAACCCCGAAACCCTACACCTACCCCAAACCCTAACCCAAAACCCTACGGCACATGCAACAACCCTGGACCTGCAGCCCCCAAAACCCTTATGAAACCCGCTAAACGATCCTTCAAGAACGCCCCGAATTCATGACACTAGCCCTGAACCCTTAACACCCCCTAAACCCTAAACCCCTAAACCCCTAAAACCCTAAACCCTAAACCCCTAAAGCCCTAAACCCTAAACCCTAAACCCCTAAACCCCTAAACCCTAAACCCTAAACCCTGAACCCTCGGGTTTCGATCGGGGAGGCCGAGGCGCGGCTTCGCTCTGCACCTGGGAAAGCTGCCTGCTGGCTGCCTGGAACCAAACTTTCTGGGGTTGTCAATGGCTGTCAAGATTTTAGTGTGTGTTTGTGCCTTAATTAACCTACCGAACCCTACTTTTTTGTAGGGTCCCTATAAACTCCATATTCGGGTTTATAATGAGAACCTACAAAAAGTAGGGTTTGGTAGGCTAAGGTAGGGTTTAAGGGTCAGGATGAATAGGGGCCCAAGCACTCGAAGAATCGTTTGTCTCGCATCCCGGGTTCAAGATCTGTGGGAGAGTCAGGAAAAGAGCCGGAAAACGAACCCTACGGTTGATGATATAAATCCTGCATTACCTTAAGGACCCTAGACTATGGGGGACTATGGTATATCCTTATTGTGGGTAATGCAGGATTTATATCATCAACAGTACGTATTACAACCCCCGCCACAGCTTGCTCTGCATCTATGCTGCTTGCGCTTGGGTCTAGGCTTTCTTTAGACTCAGGGTTCAGGGTCGGGGATTAAAGGTTTAAGGGAACACGAAGGACTTGAGAAGGACCTGACCGAAACGGCCCCAAAAGGAGTCCCCAGATCATAGCGCGGACAATTTGCATGACAAGCCGCAAACCCGCGGAAGCTTCAGCAACAAGCTCAGGCTTTGCTTCCAGGCTTGCAGATTTGCGGCGATTTGCGTTATGCTTTGGGGTTGAGAGCTACCTGGGGCTTGGTTTCAGCACCTCTGCAATAAGTGCCAGAAAGTTAGGCATGCCCAACAGGCGGTCTCAAGGTAAGCACAACCAACAACTACGAATGCTTCATCCATGTTCCAGCTTGCTGGTACTTGCAAAACTATCCGCCTAAACCCTAAACCCTGAACCCTGAACCCTAAACCCTGAACACGCAGCCTTAAACCCTGAAGCCCTAAACCCTAAAGTCTACAGTTAAACCCTACACCCCAAACAGCAAGTCCGACAAAACATTGATCTCGATCCTACGTTTTGGTTCCTACGCAGACCCACCCCAACCCTCAACGCGATCCTACTGTCCTCCTCCTAGACCCCCAGCTCTCGAGCATGAAAAACCTAAACCATCAAACCCCTCCGCCTTGATGTCCTAATGCGACAAAACCCTAAATTCTTTAATCTAGGTTCTCCGGTACAATGGTAGTCATCTCCAACTATTCCCTGACCCAGAAACTCCAAAGCCAAAAGCAGGTATGACTTGGGGGCGCAATCACAACCACCGTCGAACCATGCCGGATACGATGGCGGGTCTGGAAAATTAGAGAACGTTTCTGTGGCTTATTGCAGCCATGTGTTTTTGGTGACTAGCCCAAATGAATCGGAATTTATTGGCCCTATACTACCCTAACCCCTAACCCCTAAACCCTAAACCCCTAAACCCTAACCCGAAAACCTTAAACCCTAAACCCTAAAACCTGAACCCGAAGCCTTAAACCCTAAACCCGAAGCCCTAAATCGCCTGTTCATTCCCAGTTGGCAAGTGAAAGTGCCCCGGCCATTTCTCCTCACGGCCAGGGATGCAGACTCGACTCAAAGCCTGACGTAAACCTGAAAACCACGGACTTCCCCTTCCCGGACGGATCAAAGCCCCAAATCCTGAAACCCTAAATCCCTACACCCTAAAACCCCAAACCTCTAAACCCTAAACCCAAATCCCTACACCCCTGGACACTCTAAAGGCAGAAGCCAGGGCTCCTTTGAAGGATGCTAAACTACAATATAGTATACTATGCTATACGATCATATACCATATCATATACCATAATACGGCTTTAGGGTTTAGGGTAGTATACTATAACATACTTTACATCATATACTCTACTATATTATACCACAGGGGCTCCTCTGAAGGATGTAGTTGGAGGTGCAACCCACCTCACAGGACTCCCCGGGCAGCAGCGCCGAGCACGTCTCGGGGATCTCCTCCGATGCACCGCGTTTTTGGGTGGTTTACTCATCGTTCTTTTTGCTTGGGGGTTTAGGGCTTCGGGGTTCAGGGTTTGGGATGTAGATTTTCGCGTTTAGGGTTCAGGGTTTGTGGTTGAGGCCTTGGGGTCAAGGGTTTGCACGGGGCTTATTATGACTTGCCGTTGTTGGTGGTTTCCGGTAGTGTCAAAAAGCACGACCGCGCCTAAACCCTAAAGCCTAAAACCCAAGCCGAAAATCAGAAAGCCTTTCAGCCTTGCATCTGCCTTGGCGGACTCGGCCAGACACAGTTTTAATCTAAGGGGCTCAAATAAAAAGAATAGGCTACATACGCCTTCAGGAGCATATATATATATATAATTCCTAATTTAATTCTTTAGGTGTCAGGTCTAAGAGCCTGAATAAGAAGAATAGGCTACATACGCCTTTAGAAGCACATTACTAATTCTGAATTAGACTAACTCCTTGGGTTTCCGGTTGCCTTAACACCTAAAACTAAAACCCTAGGCCCTGAACCCTAAAACCCTGAAGCCCTACATCTTATATAGTTCGGACTTTAAGGGCAGAATGCTGGCGCTAAGCCCTGCAGCCTATCCTAAACCCTGCACCCCGAAGAAGATAAAGCTCCAAAACACCAATGCATATCGGCCTACAGCACACCCTACATCCCCCCCAAATATGTAAAAGCAAAAGTTGAAAAAGAGCTATGTAAGCTTGAAGTAGCTGCCGGGTCGCGTACAAGGGCTTGAATGCGTAATCGACAGGGAGTTATTCTTTATTTAGGCTTCTATATCTGTGCTGCCGGGCCACGTACTTCTCCCTGTTCAGCTGCCTCCGGGCGCTCAGCGGTGCGCAGGTCAGGCTCACAGGCAGAGACCAGGAGGTTCCAGCATCGTTCCTGTCCGCTTTTAGGGTTTAGGGGTTTATGTTTTTGTTTAAAAGGCTTAGTGGTTTAGGATTTAAGGCTTTAGGGCTTTAGGGGTTTAGGGCTTTAGGGGTTTAGGTCTTTAAGGGTTTAAGGCTTTAGGGCTTAAGTTTAAGGGTTTAGGCTCATGCTGCTTTAAGTGTTTCGGCGCCGTTGCAAGGGAATGTGATTCAGTTCTTGTAACCCAGAGACCTACCACATCCGAAACCCTCCCTCTCCTGGCACCAGCCATGACCTCGTACTTTGGGATGTCATCTGGGTTTCCCCCGCCACAGCTCCCGGTGAAGGTGAGCAAATTCGGGTTGCAACCTTGAGTTGAGGATTGAGGACTTAGAGTTTAGGTTGTTTCTCCAAAAAATAAAAGTTCATGTGGCTTCTTGTCTGCGGCTTCTTCCGGTTCAAGGGTAATTGTTAATACGGTCTGCACTTAATACCTTAGGACTGACACACACACACACACCCTGAAATCCTTCACATTAAAAAGAACTCTACAGGCTCGGTGTTTAGGGATTCTTAAGCGCTTGTGAGGACACCCCCCTCCCCCGCCCCAGTCTCTCCGAGCCGCATGTGTAGCGCACGACGACGTGATCGATCCTGGCAGGTGCATCGGGGAGCCCTAAACCCGTACAGTACTCTTTATAATAACCCTTAACGATCCCTTCAAGGAACCATTAGAAGAACCTAGCCCTAAAACCTAATATAGAGGCCTTAATAATTGGAATAGGGTTTTGCGGCCAATTACACTATACTAAGTTAAGAATAACGCGGAATGTCAAACACTTGCGAGATTACGTCAGCAGACATTCATCCTGAACCCCCAAGCCCTGACACCTTGTGTCTTCCCAGACACTTAGGATGTCCTTAAGGGGGGGTGGTCCAAGGGGGGTAGGTAACCTAGTAATCCCCATTATTCCCCAATACTCCCTAAGCTTCCCTAAGGTTCCCCAAAGCTCCCTAGTACCCTCCCCCCTTGAACCACCCCCCCTTAAGGATCCTATAATGCAAGAAAACCACCGCGAAACCTTACTGAACCCCTAACCCCAAACTCTACATCCTCTGAACTTTAAACATCTCTAAACCCCAAGGCTTTAAACCCAGAACCCCTAAACTGTAAACCCTAAACCCATAACGCTCTGAATAACAAGCAAACCCCGAAACTTGGAATTCCTATGCCCTAAACCCGTACTGGTAAAACTAGAACCCTTCAACCCCTATAATACCCGCATAGTAACCCTTGTAGGAACCCTTAAAAGAACCTGACCCTAAACCCTAAACCCCTAAATCGGCAGACCCTAAACCCTACACCCTAATCCCTAAGCCCTAAACCCTAAGCCCTAAACCCTTATTATAGTACCCTTATAGTATAACCTTCATAGTAACTGATATAGATCCCTTAAAGGAGCCCCTAAAAGGGATTCCCTGTACTTTACTTTACGCGCATGGGGCCAATAATGTTCCAACTTTCTGGTTTCTACTATATTATTAAACCCCCAAAATCATGATACCCCTTATAGTAACCCTTATAGACACCTTTAAACGGACCATTCTTTTCAAGGGCCCCCGTATCAAACCCCCCCAAAGTCCCCAAGAGCCAAGGCTCGGGTCTGCGTTCGAATCGCCGACGCAGAATTGGCCCGAGGTTGGCGGATCGAAAGTCCTTGCGGCCCAGTTTTGCGGTTCAGGGTTTAGGGCTTAGGGTTTAGGGTTTAGGGGTCATGGTTTAGGGTTTAGGGCTTAGGGTTTAGGGTTTAGGGATCATGGTTTAGGGTTTAGGGCTTAGGGGTCAGGGTTTGAGCTCAGGGGCTTCCGGTGCACGCAACATTTCAGTTAAGTTTGCCAACTGAATCCTACACCCAACCCTAAACTCTAACTGAGTTGTCTCTTCCGGCTTTGGTCAAGGTGAAACGAGGGGCTGAGAGTTCAGAAACCCTAAACCCTAGACCCTAAACCTGAGAGTTCAGAGTGCCGGCTGCGTCAAGTGGCGAGAAAAGACTTCTCAAGGTTGGGCCTCGTGGAACGGTTTAGGGTTTAAGGTTTAGGGCTTAGGGCCTAGGGTTTAGGACCCCGACACATTAGTCCTCCAAGCCTAAACCCGTAACTCGCGGATTCCGTAGATCGTGAAATGTTGGGGGTTTAGGGTCCTTGCCCAATACATAACGGCCTTCATGGGTACAATAGGGGTTGGGGTAAGAGTACATGCGAGTAGAACGACACTTCAGCAACCTAAAGTAGGATGTTTTGGTTTTTGTTCGGGCCTCTGTTCTAGACCTAAGAGTAACCTAGGAATAAAAAGGGTGCCCTTTTTGGTTTAAAGGGTGTTATAAGGGAACCTAAACCCTAAAAAAGGGAATAAGGGCCTACTCTGGGTCCTAGTGTTACATAATTACGGTAGGGGCCTCAATATTTGGAATAGGGCTTCGGTGGTATCTTCAACCAATAATAAGGAACCTCCAAAATGGTATAGGTAATTTAAGGCCCGTCTATTACCTGGGGTTCGAGCCCCCGGGAACCAACCTAAAACCGGCCTGCAAAACTTCGACCCGCCCTGCATGGCGCAGACCTCGGCAACAGTGGTGAGTCTAAAGAGCTTCAGACAAGTTTATAGGAACCTTAACAGACCCCCTAAACCCTAAACTGCAAACCCGAAGCCCCTAGGAGTTTGTTTCTGTCGATCGTGGAAGCACTCCATTCCAAACAGGCTGGCGCAGAACTGCCCTCCCCCCCGCCTCTGGAGCACAGTTAGCGTTTAGGGGTGGCTCTGCAATGACTTTCTCCAGGGTTTTATCATGGGAGTTTCTGAAAATTAAGGGTACCCTACTTTGGGGGTACCTTTAATAAGGATCCTACTATTTAGGGTGCTATATTAGGGTCCCCCCCATTGTCGGAAACTCCCAAAAGGTTGCAGGCCTCCAGGGGTTCACAGGGCTTAAAGCTTGAGCTTCAGGGCTTCGGTTCAGGGTTTAGGGTTTAGGGTTTAGGGTTTGGAGGTTCATGGGTAATTCTAACTAGAGCTACAAGTCCCCTAATATGGGTTAGGTATAGCTACCTTTCTTAGAACCCTACTTCTAACTCCCCATGAACCTCCAAGTAGGTATTTCAGGGCAATCCTGACCTACAGTTGCACCCGGCGCTACCAAAGCTTATATCCGAAACTCCCAAGCCCCTCAACGCTTCCTGCAACTTAAATTCAACCCAACCCCAGCCTTGTCCGTTGTGTTTCGTTGTATGGCACAGAGATCTGACCCAATTGCAGCTAGGTTAAAAAGTAAGCAGGAAAGCCATCCACCATCTACCTTAACTACATCACTAAACCCCAAAACTCCCATCTCCAAAGCCTTTCAATCAGTGCTTATTAAGGTTCAAAGACACTTTAGGTTGGGAAAAACATAATTACGGGTAGAATCTGTCTGGAGTGGACTCTTGATACCTATTGCCACTTTTTTTCTTCTTCATTCTTCAATATCCGAGCACATAGATCAAATTTTCTCAGATGGACCAAGTAGAAGAGCACACACAAAATGCCGAACTCGGTTGCATCACTGTCAACCTGAAGAGCTGCAAGCCCCAAACCCTTGAAGAGCCCCGCGCTCTTGAAGCAATACTCGCCGAAACAGAGAAGTCCAACCCTTCAACCTAACTCTTAAATGAAAGCCCAAGTCCCTAAACCCTAAACACACTCGCAGCCACCTTCTTCACGCAGAACCCCTCCGGAGGCTTCGCATAGCAGGCCTGTGCCTGCTCTCTGGAGCTAGCAGCCGAGGAAATAGGATATTGTTTTCTACTGGGTTTAGGCTCTATATAGTTATTGCTCTATGGTCACCCTGAGGGAACTACTGGGAATTCGTGCCTTTGTTAAGGCTTTGGAGGTTTAGGGCTCAATGTTTCAGGATTTAGGGTTGTAGGGTCCATGGAATGTTTCGGGAACCGGGTCTCGACTTAGCATGTGAGAATGTAAAAGGTCGTCCTCGGGTGTTGAAAGACACTGACTTCGTTCGTTCGCCACAGCTTCTGTAACCCAGGGGCCTTAACAGAGTCTTACCAGTGAGAGTAGGGTTTTAGGTATATTGTAGAGCTGATTCTAACAGAAGCGGGCCTGGACAGTGGCCTTGACAGGATAGTTGGGGGACTTTACGGCTGTTGATCTGCGTGTTGTTTGGGTTCAGCGGTTATTGGGGTTTGGGGTTGTTAATCTTTTCCCCCTTTGTAAAACAGCCCCGTTCTAATAGAAACACTTGGGGGCCAATCCTCCCGAAATCATCCCCGCCTTAAAAATCTAATTTGCATTAGGGCGGTTTAGGAAGGGTGCAGGAGCAAGAGCAGGAGAACGCAAGAGCCAGAGCAGGAGCAAGAGCAGGAGTGGGACTACATCAGAGCAGAAACAGGAGTCAGAGCCAGAGCGAGAGCAAACCCCAAAGCAGGAGAAGCAGCAAAAGCAATATCAGGAGGAGCAAGCAGGAGCGAAAGTAGGAGCAAGAGCAAAAGTTCTGCAAAAGCAGGAGCAAGAGCATTCGCTGGGGCGAAAGCCGGGGCAAGAGCGAGAGCAGGATGCCTCAAAGAACACTATCCCAGTGTGTAACGGTTTAGGATTTAGGGTTGTATTGCGGGCCCTCCGTTTAAAATTTGGGCCTAGCAGTTTACGGATGTGGACCCCAACCCCCAGCCCACGCCCGTGAAAGAGACCAGCTCTCGGGCCTACTTGGCCCGAAGGCGTCGTCTGAATAAGCGCAATTACTTAGAGGATCATGGGACTTAGTAAGTGGGTTATAATTGGGGTTATAAGCCCCCTAACTGGGGTTATCCTAATTATAACCTACTTATAACCTTACTTACTAAGTCCCATGAGCCTTCAAGTAGCAACGAACATAACAATAATGATCATGTTCGGACTTACAGTCAAAAAAGCGATCGTAATTTTAAGGTTGATAGCTGTGATAAACAAAGGCTTGGGCCCCAAGACTTAGGCCCCCACGCCCCAAGGGTTTAGTTCAGGATCGAGGGCACATAGTTTAGCAGGGTTTCGGGCTATGTAGGGCTAGAGGTCAAAGCCCTGAACTACGGTGTGTCGGATCCTAAGACAAGCCGCAAAAAAGGCTCAAAGAAGTTGACAAACACATTCTGCAATAGTAGCCTGTATACGTTTCACCATGGAAACCCGTAACTGCTGCGAACCCTAAACCGCAAACCCTGGACCTTAAACCCTAACGTCAATCAAAACGGTTTAGGGTTAAGGGTTTAGGGGTTTGGGGTTTAAGGTTTAGGGTTGGAACTTCCAACCGTAGCACAACAGACATACATCGAAAAGCATTCAAGTGCAAGTGTACTTCAACCCGAAACCGCCGCCCTCAAGGAACCCTTCGCCTACAAGGATCCCTTAACCCTAACCCCTAAACCCTGCCAGGACCCCTCAGCGCCCTTTAATTGGAGCCCTTTCTGGTCCTTTTTAAATGGTGGATATTTGGGATATATATATATATATATATATACTATAGAACGTGATTCGGGGTCTAGGCAAACCCGATCCCGTTAAGTTTCTGCCCCTAGACCCTCATAAACTCTATACCCTAAACTCTAATTGCTAAACCCTATGGTGAACCCCAGCTAGGATCCCCTTATACTTGACCTTAAGGGCATGGGCATAATGATGTTCCAACTTTCTGAGTTCTACTATATACCCTAAACCTTGAACCCCCACCCCATGCGCCTGGCCATTGAACTGGCCCTCGAACTGACAGCTCAGGAAATCCCCGCTGCGAGGATCAGCGGCGCATTCTCGGCTGCCTGATCTCTTGAGGAAGGCACTATGCTAGGGTTTAGGGTTTGAGGTTTAGGGCTTAGGGTTGCATATGGTTTCATCTTTTTGTGGTGCCTTTTCCAACTGCTTATTAGTAGCCGAAATTCCCTACAGGGAGGAGCCTGTGTGATCTTTGGGACACTGGTTTGGGGATAAAGCTCTAGGCATGTCGGGTCGGTGGTTCTTGGATTTTCTATACCCCCCTTAGAACCATAATAACAGCTGTAGTTTTAATATTCTCTTGGGTTTTGTATGAACAAAACCAAAACATAATTCCTAAGGAGACTATACGTTAGGTTTTCAGGTTTATAGACAAGAAGGGCATAAGGATTCTGCAGACAGGGGTTTCAGGGCCTGAGGTGTTTGGTGCTCAGGGCTTTGGGCTTACTTGAAGGCTCATGGGACTCAGTAAGTAAGGTTATAAGTAGGTTATAATTAGGATAACCCCACTAAGGGGACTTATAACCCCAATTATAACCTACTTACTAAGTGCCATGATCCTCTAAGTAGAGTTGCTTTGCAGGGCTTGGGCTTCCCTTGCTTCAGGGCGTCGGACTTTAGGGTTTTAGGGCTCGGGGTTTAAGGTTCCTTTAAGGGATTTATAAGGGTTACTATAAGGGTACTCAGTGGTTTAGGGGTTTAGTTTACCGTAGTCTCCATTGTGGTTCCTGCTTTTGGTTAACCAATTTTATGGTTAGGACCCTATAGTTTAGATTCTGGTCAAACCAAAAAAAGGAACCACAATGGAGACTATAGGTAGGGTTTATGGTTCGGGGTTTAGGGTTTGCAAATCCCGAAGCCGAAACCAAATCCTAAACCTATGGGGCGGTAGGGCCTATGTAAACCTGTAAGCCCCAAGCCCTGAACCTTAAACCTCTAAAACCTCTAAATTCTAAACCCCTCCGAAAACGGTTAAAGCCACATGCGGCCAGGTTGCGGCGGCTCTTGGCCCAACAGGTCGTGTCCGCAGAGTTGGCCAGGTCTAGAGCAGAACAAGAGTTGCACCTTGATTTGGGGCGTTTAGGGCTTTCAACTAAGGTTGTTAGGGTTATTGCTTTGATTTGTTTCTTTTTGGTTTTCAGCGTCTGTATAGAGCTGTTACGACATTCTTGGGGTAGGAGAAAGGGCGGGTGTTATACAGGGCTTAGACCTGTGGTTTTTGCTTTTGTGCTTTCGGGCTTTCAGGGTTTGGGGGTTTAGGGGTTTAGGGGTTTAGGGTTTAGAGGTTTTACAGGTTTGGGGTTCAGGGTTCGTGGGCTGTAGGGTTTCAAGCTTTGCGACTAAAGGGTTTAAGGGCTTTAAGTGCCCAGATGAGAGAGTTCGGGGCTTAAACGCCCTGCTCTGTACAGTTTGCCGGTCTATGGGGAGCCTTGAAGGTGTAGTCGAGGGCTCAAAGTTTCAACTGCAAGCCGAAAAGGAATGGTCGAGGGTTTGGGGTTTGATGCTTTCGGGTGGCAATCTTTTTGAAAAGCCCAGGGAGGAGTTACAATTTCTGGTTCAAGGCTTGGGGTTTCAGGGTTTAGGGAATCCAACACTCTAAGAACCTTCGTTCCAATCTTGCCTGTCTCCCATACCGAAGCAAAGACGAATGTCTGTCAATAACAGACCCGCCGTACTACTAGAACTTGGCTTTCGAATACATGACAATCATATGAAAGAACCTTCGATCCCTGCAAGCAACACCAACAACATGCAGAGTTTTACGGCGCCTGCGTCTCAAACCAGAAATGAACTTACCTCAGAGGCCAAGCGGCTTGTTGCCGTCGTTGCCGTCAGGGAAACACTGATTGTTCCTCAACTGGTCGCAGGTCGCACTGAACAAATGAACCCCAAAACTAGAATAGGAGCCTCTGGCCTCTGATTTGTATAACTGTTCCATTACAACTATACTGGGACTAGAACGGAATATTACGAAGTAGGTAGTCTTCGCTGTGAAAACTAGGGCTCCAAAACCCGAAACCTCAAACACTCCTAGGCCCCGGGCCTAAACCGGTTTAGGGTTTGGGGGCCCACGTGTGCTCAGGTGCGTGTCCTTTGACTTGAGCTTCGGGGTGGCTTAGGGGCTCGGGTGTAGCGTATGCTGCTGATTAGATTATGCAAGGCCTGTAGATACTCAATCTTTGACCTGAGACCCAAAACATTCGACTGTATGCTCCACAAGCTCCTTCAACCGCAACCCTGAAACACCTCAAAACGGACAGGCACAAACCCTGCACCTCGCAGCCCAAACCCTATATGCCTGCAACCTAAGCCACAAGCCCTGCAACCTAAGCCCTGCTACATTCCAAGCTAGCACCTTCACAACAATCTCTTCAAGGATCCCTCAAGCTTATGAGATTATGACTATTGGTACTCAAGTATTTTCAATCATCACGATCAGAAACAACCCGGGAGCTCTCCGAGCGGCCGCTTGGTAAAGTCCGCATCATCGTTGCAGGAATCCTTTTCGGGTTCAGGGCTCAGGGTAATTCTGGATCTGTGGGTTCTCTTTTGCCCTGCACCCTAACCTGCAGCATCGGATTCTGCTTTGAGAATCCGGAGTTAAGGGTTTCCGGTTCCTGTGTGGCTGGAAGGACGCTGATAATCAGGCTACACACGGACAAAAGTCTGCTTTCGATTCGAAACCTGGAATATATGGTTCTGGTTTGAGGGATCTGTAGGCAGGTAGGTACGTAGGCAGGTGGGTCGGTCGTGGCTCGTGGTGGGTCGGACGGTCGCTCGCTCGGTCGTTCAGTTGGGGGGCAAGGAAGGCAGGCACGGGACGGAGGGAGGGAGGGGGGAGCCCTAAACCCTAAACCCCGGTTGAAAAGCATGGCTCTGGTGATCTTAATACCATACTGAGTGTCGGAATACTGTTGCTAATGATTCACGCCCCGATGTTAGGCTAATGGTCTGAAGGCCCCCTAGACAGCTAGAGCCAAAACCCCCTAAACCCTATAAACTCGAACAGCCAGAAGCACAATCCCCAAACAGGATATGCCCTGCGTCCAACCTTACGGCCTGCTTGCGTCAACTGAGCGTTGAGACTGACAGCAAGCATCTAAAGGCTTAGGCCCCGAAAAAAAGTCCAGCCCTAAATCTTTGCTGAATGGATCATGGATACTTCAAACAGAAGTAAGGAGGCTGCCCAGTTGCTCTGACATGTACTAACGTGCATTACCTAGACCCAAGAGTATCCTAGGAATAAAAAGGGTGCCCTTTTTGGTTTAAAGGGGCTTACAAGGGAACCCGAACCCTCAAAAAAGGGAATAAGGGCCTACTCCAGGTCCTAGTTACTGTGAATTGTAGTGACTAGCAGGCGCAAGTGAGTGTTTTAACTGCCGTGATTCTTGCTTCAACCCTTTAGGCCTGCGCCCTCAATCCGAAGCCTTAAACAGTTACGCGGGAAAGACGAATTCGACTTCGTTGTTGGATTAAGAAGCACTTTCTCCAGGCTGTATACATCCTGCCTTAGCAGTAGCCCCTACAGCCAGAAGTGGGTCCAAGAAGCCACATCCGCCGTCTGCAGGCGACGGTTCCATGACAAGCCATGCAACTTGCTTGACCACTCCTCCTGGCGGTTTAGGGCTTAGGTCAGGGCCTCGGATTTCTAGCTTCGCATAGATGGCTAAACCCTAAACCCCAAACCCAGTGCGTAATTGAATACAGGGGTCGCAGGATCCAGGATCCTACTTGGGTTTAGGCTTCACTGCATCCTTGCTGAGCCGGCTCGGAGTATCGAGCTGAGTAGGCCTAACAGAATACTGACAGTTATAGGGCTTAGGTCCTAGGATAGTTGTAAGTAGGCTATTTGGTACGGTAACTATACATCTACCCCATATTTTAGGGACTCATAACCCTGGGGTATCAGCAGACAAACGAATCTCAGCTATGTGGAGAAGTGCTGTACGAAAAAATGCAGACAATGACTCGTCACTTTACTTGTGCTTTGCACGGGCTTGGGGCGAAGAGCTACATGTATAGTTACCCCACTTATAACCCTACTTATATCTACCGCACAACCCTAATCCCTAAACCCTATAGATCTTGTCCCTTTAGAGGAACCCTACTTATAACTACGCCTGAACCTCCAAGTAGAAAACTTAGAAGGCCCAAATACCAGGACAGAAGCCTTGAAGCGAAACCTCAACCCAGAGAGCCCAATACCCCTTAATTAAGGAGTACCTAGGACCGAGGGTTCCTTTAAGGGATCTATAGAATCTATAGGGTTTAGGGGGCTCCAAGATCCCTTATTAAGGAATACGCCTTAAATCCTTAGGGGCTTCATATTATGACTTAAGCTATATTCCTTAATTAAGGGGTAGTGGGCTCTCTGGGAAGGGGAACCCATAAAGGCTCCTTTCAAGGGTTCCTTTGAAGGTCATTTATAGGGTTCCTTCAGGGGTTCCTTTAAGGGTTCCCTTTAGGGTTACAATGTGAGCCTTACTTGAATACTAGCCACCGTAAAGCCCTGAACCACCGTAGCCCATTTCTGTACATCTTTGCAAACCGATTTGCAAAGGCATGAAGCTCCACCGCAAAATCACATGCAGCCGCGGCACATCTTGCTCAGGGACGAGAGACAAGCGACGCACGTCATCGGCCTGCTTCACTTGGGCTTAATGTTGGGAGTTCAAGGTGTTGCCTCAGTTTAAATATGCTGGTTGATGTATGATCTGGAACTAGAAGAGGGTCTTAGTGCGCATTGCAGTAGGGTGCCTCTTGCAGACTTTCAACCGACATGTGTGCATATTGTGAGCAGGAGAGCTCTGCCGCGAGCTTGTGCTTCTTGCAGCATCTCAGAGTTTCCGCAAATAGCGGACCCTAATATAGTACCCTAAATACTGTTGATGATATAAATCCTGCGTTGCCCACAATAAGGAACATACCACAATTCGCATAGTCTAGGGTCCTTACGGTAATGCAGGATTTAAATCATCAATCGTAGTAGGATCCTTATTATAAAGGTACCCCTCCTCTTCGGAAACTCCAATATCAGTCAGCTTGCCAAGGATCTTAAGGGAGGGTGATTCAGGTGGAGGCGGAACCCTAGAGGACCTCAGGGAGCACTGGGGAAATAAGGGACTATTCTGACTGTTCTGGTTGCTTGTTGAAGAACTTAGTTTAAGCTGCCGCTCCTTAAGGACTTCAAAAGCTTCCCTATCCCGTCTTTTCTTGCTGACACTAAAATACCAGCATATTTGCAGCTTTAGGGTTTAGGGGTTTGGGGGTTATTGTTCAACGGTTTCGGGTTTAGGGTTTTCAACCTCCCGCATAAGGGGCGGTTGCCAAGCTGATCCATCGTTGAAGAAATAGCACATGTAAGCTGCAGGCTATTGCGGGGCATATGACATCCAACCGTCTGGAACGACTCTTGATGGCATGTCCCTGTGATCCCTAACAGCCGGTAGTACTACGAAGCAGCAGTGCATATACCCTCAAACCAAAAACCAATTTCGGTAATGCCCTTGCATCTTCCACGGGAACGCATCGAACAAATGAGGGGTCATGCTGTCCTAAGGGGTAGTCGTGAAGGTCCCTTCCTGCTTCGAACGGGACATCGGCTAAATTGCCCCAAGTTACCCGGTTTAGAGTTAGGGTACAGGATCCTGGGAATTCTCCTACGAGTACGAGCCTCGCTCCGAACGCCTAGGGCCTAGAGCTTGAAGCTACGAAAGCTGCAAACCTCAAAAGCCCTTCGACATCTCTGAAGCCTAAACCTAAACTAAACCCGAATCCCTATACCCTCATCCCTAAACCCTGCACTCCCTAAACCCTGTACACCCTAAACCCTCATCCCTAAACCCCCTAATCCCTCAACCCTCATCCCGAAATCCCCGAAACCCCACCGCGAGCCCAAGGGCCTCGTCATCGTCCTCATCGTCATCCGCCTCTTCAGGGTCATCAGCTTCGTCGTCCTGGTTGTTCCTGCGGGGCTGCTGGGCTTCGTGGGCTTCGGGGAGGGCCTGTAGGTAGGGTTTACCTGGACGCTCAGGAACTTACCTTCTTAGGGTTCCATAATATGATTTCTTTCTATAAGTCCTTGAAAAGGTCCTTGGGGTTGAGGTAAGGTTTCTAGGGCTTCTAAGGGATTTTGATTTACGGCTGCCATGCGCATCCAAGGGTAACGTGTCGTTCAGAGAAAGCGGGCGAGCGCGTTGGTGCAGTCTTGTAGGGGCTTAGGGCTTAGGGTTCCGTCCAGGGTTCAGGGTTTAGGGCTTAGGCTTTAGGGAGCAAGCAAAGGCTTTCATGGCCTAGGAGAGCTGGGAGTATACATGGCAGTTGTTCCAAACTGCTGTCCCAAAGTAGCCATAGTTAAGGTAGGCTCCTCTTGTTTGGAAGTGTAATATATACTTCCATCGTATTTCGGAAGCCTGTATATAAAGAACAATGTTCTTGGCGAGACAAGACCGCTGCATTACCTGCACACTAGTTGTCACTAGCTTCCCTAGGGCCCGCCCTGATGTAGGGGCCTTGATAATTCAAATAAGGTTTGGGGGGGCAGAGTAGGTTATTATTAAGGCCCCTATAGTAATCCTGAAGCCTAAACCGAAACATAGACCCTCGCCCCTCGGATACTGCAGGGCTCGTCTCCAACCCCCAACACATGCTCTGCATGCCACTTCCTGAACCCCAAACCTACACACCCCCAGGTTGCACTAGCCCCAAACCGGCCCTAAACCCTCAAGCCCTTTAACCCGAAGACCCTGTGTCTCGAAAACCCTAAACCCTAAACACCCGAAGCTCTAAACCCTTACATAACACCGGAAGCGAGCGCCGGGAACCGGCCTACTCAGCTCCATGGCATTCTGCTCTGGCGCGGTGCCTCATGCCAGTGCTCGGTCAAATACTTTGGTCCGGATGTCGCATAGGGTTCAGAGTATACTACAATACAATGGAAAAGGAACCCTATGACTTGTGCCTTGTAGAGTTGCACGCGGGGCAAGCTCTTGCTAAGACTGAGGTCCACTTGAATATAAGGGTTCTTACGACAGCGACCCGCATGCCATTTTGGGACTACGCCAGAGTCCCCCAATCAGACCGACTCGTACGAAATCCAAAACTCAAAAACCCTGATGTAGACCTCTGGCTAACATACACCCTCTCCTTTGAGGGACTTATTAAAGAAATGCCAAGGATAGTCACCCCTTCCACGGATACTTCTCAACTCTGAACCCTAAACCTCAAACCTCGCCCCTAAATCCCTAAACGCACAACCCTAGAGAGAGTGTTTAGATTCGGGTCCAGTCTGGGGCCTTTCCAGGCGGAAACCACTGTCTGGAATTCAGTGTATAGGGGCCTTCATAATTTCGAAAAGGGTTTAGGGCGCCTTGCAAGTCTGTCAACAGCCAGTGGTGAAACGAGGACTGCAAAAGCGGCGGCTTGAGAGGTACAGATGCTGTTTCTGCGCGCTTGAAAGGCCAACGATCATCTTGGCCTTCTTGCGACGATTTGTGGCCATGTGAGGATGGTTCTCGGTTGCTCATCACGAAGATCGCTTGGCAGGGGCGGCCTTCGCAGCCATCTTAACCTCTGCGAGCTCAGCTAGTCGCCAATAGACTTCCGCCCACACGTCCAAGCCTGGCGGGTGCCTTGAAAGGGCTAAGAGGGCTTTAGAAAAGGATTCCTTAAATCTGTTAGCTACTACTCCAGTACATGTACAAGAAAATTCCTCTCCGCCCAACGCTGTCAAGCCGTGGAACCGGGCATTTTGGGCCTGCTGGAGGAGTCTTCCAACCTACACCCTCAACAAACACAAAATCCTACAGCCGGTGTCCTGTCATGTGGGATCCCGATCGGATTGAGACTGATCTTCTCTGGCCTTTGATGACGTCTCTAAGCTCCTCATTCGGTTTTAGGCTTTTGGAAGAAAAAACGCTGTTTCCTATTGTTCAGTTTGATTCGATGGTGGGGCAGCTCAGAAAAGAAAAACGCGACACAGTGTGCCGTTGAGACACGTACAAGTCATATGTATATATATATATATATATGTTGTTATGCGAGCGAACCCTGATCTAAGGCTCCGTCAGACATAGAACCTTCTCCTCGTTGCATACTTGCTAAACCCCTCGACCGTGTACCGTACATGCAAGTCTATGGCCTACACTCTCTATTCCATAGATCTTATCCTCCGATTTTCTCAAACGGTAATGCAGCGCAGTGTACATGTCATCACACCGGTGGTCTCGCGGAAGAGGAACCTTAACAGCTCGCGAAGGTCAAGAACAACTAGGGTTCGAGGTTTCGGGTATGGGGTTGAAGTAGCACTGGCAAATTCCAAGAGTGAAAGTAGTCAGCTGTACCCAACAGGAAAACAACCGAACTGGTACGAAGACTGCACAAACAAACAGAGCATGCACATAAATACAAACAGGTGTAGCAAACCAGGCATTTCCGTAAGCAGCAAAAGGACAAATCTTGATGGTCGTGTTGACAGGGATCCACAACAGAACCTGAACCAAAACCATAAGATTGGGACAAGGTAGGGATATCCTACCCCAAAGTTTATGGTTGGCTGCTTTTTCTCCTGCAATGAGCTCCGGCTTTCAAAAACCATCCTGGTCTTGCGGCATAGGAGCCTCAATAAGAAGTCCTCTCACTCTATAAGTTCCGGAATACAATTCATTGTGGCATAAACCCACCCAACATCCAACTCTAGCTATCAAGGATTCCATCTTTTCCCTCCTCAGCCAGAAAGAAAATAAGAAAAAAAGCCTCAAGTCTCCAAAGCTCTAAAGCCTATTGGCCCCCTACTTGGAGGTTCATGGGCAGTTATAAGCAGGGATATAAATTATAAGTAGGGTAACTTGACACATAACCCAGTTGAGGGGACCCATAAAACTTATAAGTACCCATGTACCTCCAAGCCCTCAACATCCGAACCTCAAATCATGGCTAGTCCTCGGCTGAAAAGCTCTTCAAGCCCTAAGTACGCTGAAAACACACGGTTTAGGGTTTAGGGTTTAGGGTTTCACAATATCCACCAAGAACGCGCAAAACTCACTAAAAGCAGCACCAACACCCGAAACAGAATCCCTAAACCTACAAGCTCCAGTTGCCCTGAAAATCCTGAACCCTAAGCCGTTGAGCCGTAAACCCTGAACCCTAAGGGTCCAAGTAGTCCTTATTTATGGTTTTTGACACCCCAAAAAGGCCCTGAAGTCCCATGGTAGGGAGTACATGGACCCTCTGGGTAGACCGTTGAGACGGGCGGCGTGCTGATGGGGGAGATGACCTTTTCAGGATCTTTCACAATGTCGGCAGTGATTTTGATGTTCTCGCCGTCGGGCTCCAGCTTGACAATCCTGGGCTTGAGCTTTAGGGTTTGGTCTCAGGGTTATATAGCTTCGTGCGATTTTCATATGTGTCCGTGTGCTTCTTTTAGCCACACTTTGAGAGGGTTTTACCTTGGCTTGAACGCAGAGGCCTGAATCACGAGACTAGGGCCTTTGGGGATAGGGCTTATCAAGGCAGCTTATTACTACTAAGGGTTTGGGGGCCTGAACTTTTCTCACAGATCCTCAGCTTCCACGACTGCCCATAGCTGAAGGAACAGGTCCCTGAACGGCCTAGTGCTTTTGATTTATGTAGGGCTAAGCCTACCCTCGAAATTTCTGTGCTAGGGTACACAAAGAAGGCTTTGCGAGGTCGGAAGTATGACCTGCAAGTCACTGCGACCTTTGGGTGAGTCAAAACACCCTAAATCCTAGTCCTAAACCCTGAAAACCCTCGAACCTATGTCAGGACCCTACTGCACTAAACGGCTTAAGGGCATCTGTCGTCCGAGCGACGTTGGGCGATTCACCAGAGCGTCGGTGGTCGGGTTCTTACAATCGAAGCGATTGTTAGCCGCCTCCAAAAGAGCTGCGATCTGGTGTTACCAGGCTCCAAAAATTCCTTTAAAGGGTACTTGAAGGGTTCCTTTAAGGGTACGCAAGAAGTTCCTTTACGAGCCCTATGGAGGTTCCTGGGTAGTTATGCGTAAGGTTATGAGTAGGGTAGGGTAGCTGTACATATAACCCACGTCAGGGAACTTGTAACCCCACTTGTAACAACACCTTCAAGCAGGCTCCACAAACTCTAGGGTTTTAGCAGCTTTGATCCCTTTGGGCTTAGAGAGTTTGGTGCTTAAGTTTGGGTTTCAGTGTTTGGTGTTCGACTCTGGTGTAAAGTTTCAAGACAGTAGCTGAGGTGTGCGAATTTCGGGACACAACACGCTATATAAGGGCTTGAAGACTAACACTAGGGTTTCGGGTACTATTATGCATAATATACATATGTGTATGTATATATATATATATATATATATATGACAATATACATAAGGCAGCTACGGGGGATACTGATTTTTCGACCCATATACTATCAGTATGGTGGGCTAATCTATAAATGATTGGATAGGTACGTACATATTCAAACACATAAGTAAAACAGTGAATATATACATTGGCACACACATCTATATAGTGTATATGTATAATGTACACATATCTGTACCATTCATTCCGTAACCTACGAAAACCTCATGTCGTGCAGGTTCTTCGTGCATATGTTGATCAACGCAAATATACCTGAAGAGCCCATAGGAACCCAACTGAGGAGTAAGTTCAATGTGGGGACTTATGGCTTCGCCCCTCGCTCTTGAGAGTTTTCGACCTGTTGTGGTTTGTTGGATTGGGGCTGACTTAGCCTTCTACCAGCCGGCTTCTCTGGACGAAAAACCTTTGCTGAGGTGGTGCATGCATGATGTCAAGGCAGAGTGAATCTCTACCTAAACTGTGGTGCGATGTTCTGGTGGGGATGGCCCTTGTTCCTCAACCCCCGATTCAATAGCAGCATATATTCGAAGCGGGATGTGTCCTTGAATCCCAGTTTTTGCAAGGGAAGACTCACGAGACTGGCGGAACATCACTGCTCTGCTCTGTTTTCCCAGGGAACTCGCTGCGTTTACGAATCAAGACTCGCAGTACCATGTTCTTGTCTAAAGCCTTTATAACCCCAAACTCAAACCTAAACCCAAAATAAATCAAGATACTGAACCGTCAACCGCAAATCACCAACCACACCGTAAACACTAGACCCTAAATCCTTGCAGTCAATACTAGGATTCCTACCTCAAACCCTAAACCCTGCACCCTGAACGACCCTAAACCTCTACACCCCAAACCCTAAAACCTAAACCCCAAAACCCCTAAACCCTAACCCCTATTATGAACCCTAAACCCTATAAATGAGGTTTCTGGTCCGGTTCCCCGGAAGATCCTGTTCTAAGCGCTCCCCGCCTGCCACAGACCGGTCGGAGCACCAACTCGTCGACGGTTGCTGCCTTGATGCGCGCGTGTGTGCGTGTGTGTGTGTGTGTGTGTGTGTGTGTGTGTGTGTGTGGTATGTGTGTGCATATTAAAAGAGAGAGAGAGAGAGAGAGAGAGAGAGAGAGAGAGATAAATGTATTTGTACATATGTATGTGTATACATATATATGTATATATATATATATATATATCTATATATATATATATATATATATATATATATTGGCATATGTGCATGCATACATAGTTTATTTCTAGTATGAGGCAATACCTGTCCTCGGTTGGTTTTGATATAAGGGTTAGCTTGGATTGTCTATCTGGGGAGGTTCTGTCAGTGCACCCAGGTATAGTTGGCCTTGCTTTAGTCGTTTTCCAAGGATGACTCTCCAACACATCTAGGCTTTGGGGTTTCGGGTCTGCTATCATGTCCGTAAAGTCTCTTGAATTGAGGCCTCGTAGCCGTCAACTGCTAAGGAGAGTCCGTTTGATCAGGATCCAACACTAGATTTTACTAGAGAATACCGTCGTGCCCTGAACCCCGACACCGCTTTGAGGCGAGTCGCGAACGCATTTGATTTGTCCGCAGCCGAACTCACCTCGTCGCAGATGGCCCTAGACCCTCGTCCGCAACGCCTCACCCTAGTTTGGCCTACTTGGCTTTGTAGGGCTTTTGTATACATAGATGTAATGAAAGGTCGATCGGGTTTACTGAGGTATTTGGCTTTGCCCACAGAGCCCGATCCACAAACGTTAAGCTACTTACGTAGGCGAAACACGGTAAATCCCGCTACATGTGTGTCAGGACTTGAAAAGGGGTACTTTGCGTGCAAAACACCAAGACTATAGCCATGAACTCTGCATGCCGTCCTGTCTATAAAGCAAGCAGAAGGAATGTAAAGGGATATCGTGTTGTGCGGGCACTTAAAGTTCCAAGGGACTTAGTACGTAAGGTTATAGGTAGCCACTTCGGGGAATCACAACCCCAATTATTACCCCTAATTACTAAGTCTCATGAACCCTAAGTGGGGATCCCCCCGGTTGCACAGATGATCGTAGCTATAGGGGCCTTCATACTTCAGATAGGGTTTCCGGGGTAGAGAATACCACGAATATATATATATATATATATATATTATACATATGCGAGCTTCCGGAAATAGGGGACCCCAATATAATGCCCTAAATAGTAGGATCCTCATTAAAGGGCCGCCAAAATAAGGTACCCCCCTAATTTTCGGAAACTCCTTTGTGAAAGGATCAGATCGGGATCTCTGTAAACCACAGCAAAGCCTAAACCGATCCATCTTCAACACAACCCTGATGACCCGTGTACTAATATTATCTAACCCCAACGGGGTATGGTGGAAAGTCGAAAACCAAGGGAAACAGGAACCCCTGACAAAGCTAACCCTAGACCCCCACAATCACCCACAAACCTTCACTCCGACCCCTAAACCTATCTATCCCTCATCCGAATCCCTAAGCCCCCTTACCCTAGGAATCCAAGCACCCCTACACCCATCAAAGCCCTATCCCTAAACCTCCTTAACTCAACACCCAGGATCCCGAAGCCCTAAACCCCTTAAACCAACACCCTCGTTCCCCCGGCCCTGCACGCCTTGTTCGTTGCAGACTGCTCCACACTTCTTACCCTTGCGGCTGAACAGATCGCATTCAGATCGCCTTGGTGTTTGATTGTTTAAAGCGAGGTTCAGGATTTAGTTTTTTTTGGGTTTCGGGTTGGGTTTGCGATTTCGCAGGACTCCTGGTTGAGGAACTGCAGGAAACACCTTGAATCCCTAAGCCCTCCATGCCTACGGATATTGTACATACATATGTATTTATGAATATATATATATATATATATAATATGTATATATATATATATATATGTATACGCATGCGCAACTTTCTGTACATATATACACATACGTGCATAGAATACAATTCAGGGTCTAGGCGTAGAACTTGAGAGAGATACCAGACTGGAAGTCGGGTGTATCGCGCTACTCAGCGGGCTCCTGAGGAATGCAGACGAAGGGTTAAAGTAAGGAGCCAAAAAGAGCACCTAAGCTTCCTAAACAAACAACAATCAGGGTTTAAGGGTTTAGGGTTTGGGGCTTTAGAGTTGAGGTATCCCATAATCCCCTTTTAAGTACGCCAATAAGGAAAGGTATCCCACCCACAAGCTTCTGTTTCGCTGCCACTTTGGTTGTTCACCAAGGTTTGCTGCAACCCTAATGCGGCAGCTTGTAAAACCTACGTCCTGCTTTTCCATAGAGCTCTACAGTCGCAGAAGCTCCAAATCCAAAACGATTAACTTTTGAATTCCAAACGCTGGTAGCAAACCCTCACCACTTTCAAATCTAGGCACTGGCAGCACTTCAGCAGGAAAGTCTTGTTGTTCGCTTTTTAGCTTACCAAAATACCAAGTTCATGGCTAGGACCCTCTGCTGAAGACCTAGGTGACCATACAATTGAGAGTCCCGGGTTCCCTCAACCCTAAGCCTAAAAGTCCAGCCTCCAAAACCAAACCTAAGCCTCAGAACCGAAAATCGATCAATGCCTTGCAGGAATTCATCATCGAGCCGAAACCGCACATTGGAAATCGGTGCCATGCCAAGGCACCCATCAGGAACGACTCCTTTCAGAAAATAACCTGTGAGACAGCTGAGGGTTCGAGATTTCCGACTTCGGGGTTATGGTACCTTTTATGGATCTGTAAGGGTCACTGTAAAAGTTAATTATACTCTGAGGGTACTACGGTACTATAGGGTAGGGTCTGGGGATTTACGGCTTCAGCGCTTTATGCTTTCGTGTTCAGGGATTTAAGATGTAGGGTTCAGAGTGGGATGCTCGGAGAGTGCTTACTTGGGAGGCTTTGTGTTCAGACATTTTGTGAGGTGTCTGTGGTCTCATGAGTCTCATGAAGCATGTCTGTCTGAAATTCTGCGGCATTGAGGGGATTGAGAGGGTTCTCTTTCAACGCCCCAATTTTCTAACTGCCAGTTTAGCTGAGGCTTGGTGCGGTGAGGGGCAGCTCTACCCTGGACGACTTCGAAACCCGCGCGCCGAACCCCTACACCCGTAGAGTACAGCCCAAACCTCTTGAGAAACCACAAAGCCAATATTTCAGATGTTAAGCCCTACACCCTAAACCCTACACCCCTGTTCTAACCCCAGGACGCCGAGCGGCTGATGTCATTGGCTGTGACACGAAGCTGGCCGGGAAATATCAAGGTTTAGGGCTTAGGGCTGTAGGGTTCCGAGGGTGAGGATGAAACAGAGTTGAGTTGCAGAACAGGGCTTCGGAGTCTTGGTTCCGAGCTTCGGCATCTCAGCTTATTGTCTGCGACGACAAACCGCGAAGTATGATGCCAATCCTACACCCTCACCATGGCACCAGTGCATTTATGAGGATCGCCGATGCTTTGTTCTTTGTGTTGAACTGTCGGCACCCGTGGCAGAAGCCAAAAGCAACAAACGGGACTGTCAAACCTTAAACCCTGAACCCTAAACCCTGAACTCTAAACCCTAAACCATAAACCCTGAACCCTAAACCCGAAACCCTAGAAAGCCCTAAAATGAACCCTAAACCTGGATCCCAAGGAACCCGGCTCGGGGCTGAAGCGATCAAGGCGGCTTTTGGGGGATCTACCATAATTCCCACAGGCTAGGGTCCTTAAGGTATTGCAGGATATATATCATCAACTGTACTTGTTTAGGCTTCTATTTACTCTGTACTGAACTTAAAACCCTAGCAACAATTATAATTTTAGCTGTTTCTTAGGGGTTGTAATAACCAAAAACTGAAAACTATTTCTAAGTACCCCTAAGCATTGAAGCTTCTGCAATGCCATATTCTGAAACTCACATGTGGGTGGTTGTCAAAATTAGGGTCCCTTGTTGGATCTTTAATATAATACGGCACCTAATATTTATGGTACCCCAAAAGGGACCCTAATTTAGAGAACTACCCATGTATGTATGCATCTACCGACCTACTTGAGATCTGTAGTCACTTCTAGGGGTGCGCAGACACATGTTTTAAATGCGCACATCCTACATACACGGACATACGCGGAGACACGTATGTATGTATGTATGTATGTATGTATGTACTTATGCATGTAGGTAGCACTTACGAGTATGTGCTGGCAGTTGGAGAACCCTGTGGCTGATTCTTTAGGAACTTGGGTTTTGGGGGCTTCGGCGGTGATTTCCCCACTGCTTGAACTCAAGGAACACACAGATCCAAGCTAGGTGGTGCTTGCACAAACTGTTCCTAACAAAGATATCCTCAAGACGGTTTAGAGTTTAGGGTTGTTAAGCCCGAGATGCACAACTATATCAGACCCTGCCTTGTTCTATAATAAAGGCACGAGCCGAAGTCAATCGAGTGGGGACCCTTGACCTAAAAGCATCTGCCTGGCCTGGGACCCAAGAACTCTACAGGTTGGGGCTGTCTAACCCTCCTAAGGCTCCATGTGCCCATATAGTATATACTTAGGCCTTAAAGTACCTATATAGGGACTACTTTGGGGCCTAAGTATCTACTATAAAGGTACATGGAGCCTTTGTGTAATCTTTCAGGTCTGTTGGGCTACATGGCTATTCTGACATCCAGCTCTTCCACAGAGTAGAGAATCTTTGAAGACTCAAAACGAGACCCTCACCCTCGAACCCCCCTAACCTCAACCATTCAAAAGTCCCAAGGCCTTAATTAATATAATTAAGAATCCCTCCACAGTTTAAGGCATGTTATGTTCCTTAAACCAGCGATAGTTGGCTCCCCACCCGCTGAATAAAAAGTCATAGTGTAGCAACCGCCGTCGCCTGCGCCACGCCTGACAGGCACACCTCGCCGTGTCGGTCTTGGTTCCTAGTTTCTAGAACACGGCAAAACCATAAACCCTGAACCCCTAAACCCTAAACCCCTAATCCCTAAACCCTAAACTCCTAAACCCTTAATCCCTAAACCCTATACTGAAACATTATGTTCAAGAGCCGCTCAGGTTGGCTCTATAATATGCGTGAAAGATCTTGAAGTCTTAATCCTTAAGGGGAGCCCAGCAACCAGCATATAATATGACAGATAAGGTCCCCAATGGTTAGAATAGGGTTTGGGGGCATATGATGCTCTAGTTTTGATAAGGAGCCCCCCCGCCAAAAAAGAAAAAAAAGAGACTAGTATAGGTCCCCTAGGCTAAACCGTAAGCCCTATAGATCCCTTATAGATCCGTTGAAGGAGCCCTTAAGGCTCACTTGATGGTATAATTAGGGTTTGGGGGTTCAGGGGTTAGGGTTTAGGATTTAGGGGTTTCGTGTTGTTTAAGCTTCAGAGTTAGCTCGTGTATATACCCATTGAGGCTCAGTTGTAGTTCCCTTTTGTGATTCATATTTAATTAGGATCCTATAAGGCAAATCCCAAAAGGAACGGAGCCTATGGCTATACATATATATATATATACACATACATATACATATCTACATATGCATATATGTGTACGTGTGTGTGTATGTATATATATATATATATATAGATATATGACTCAATTTTTACGGGTCAAGTTTTGTACTACTAAAACTACTCTTATGACTGTTCTTTACTGCTCTTACTACTGTTTTCAAGTCTTACTATTGTAATAAGTAGTAGTACTATCCGTACTAGTATGGTTATTACAAACTTGTATGACTGGTGATCATTATTTGGATATAAGATATGGGGTTGCGGGGGGGGGGGTTGGAGGCAGTGGGAGCTGAGGTCCAGGGATGCTCCTTCGCAGCTTTTCGGGGCTTGGTGTTCGGGATTTTGGGGTTAAGGTTCACCGATGTCGGGTTTAGGGATTTGGGGTTTAGGGTTTAGTGGTTTAGGCTAGGGTTCTGAGGGTTTTGCTGAAGGGCTTCGTGGCTTCACATACTTGAGGTTCAGCAGCTAATGGTTTTATGCTGTGGCTTGCTGAAATCTTGAACATGAGGGTGAAATAGTTCCTGGTAAGCAACTTCGAAATGAGACCCATGAAAAGAACACATGCTACTCGGGGACCTAGCCTAAAACCTAAACATTAAACCTAAACCCCAAATCCTGTAAAACCCCTTTGAGAACCCTTATAAAGACTTTACGGCGACCCGGTGCCTGATGAAAAACTGATAAGCCATTTACGGCTTTTGTCAAGTTCTTGCTCTGTTTGCTGGGTGTCTACAGTCAGAATGCAATCTACAAAGCTGCCTAGGGACTTTGTTTTGAAGGGTTGATGCGGGTAACAGTGGGAGGGTGTAGGGTTTCGGGAGGTGAAGGGCTTTTGAAAGTTCTATAGGCATCAACGAAGGATCCTGTGCGGGTTTCCTAATGCTAGTTGTCTAGCATGAACGACCCGGCTTTTGTACCGAAGCAGCGGTGTGTTGTGTCTTTACGTATGTGGCTCTTTCAAAACAACATGTGGCCTCTTGATACCGTTGATGATATAAATCCTGCATTACCCATAACAAGGAATATACCCAAATTCCCATAGGTTAGGCAGCTTAAGGTAATGCAGGATTTATATCATCAACCGTATGGGCTGTCTCCTATCCAGGCGTTCTTACCCAAATACCTTCTAAAGCTCCTGTAAACTAAATTCGGGCCTACACGTCGGATTCTGGAAGTGCCGAAGCGCTCGATACGGACTTTATGTGGTAAATCCTAGGGCCCTATGAACCCTTAGAGAACTGTACGGCCTTTGCTTGTAGGACTGTCCTAGACTACGGGCAGGATGAGGGTCCTAGCTAAAATGCGCTCATATAATCATAACTTAAAGAGGTTTCTTTAAAAGTTTGGTAGAGGTTTTGGGTCTTATGGAGACTCAGGAGGTTGTAGAAAAGGGGTCTTCATGACCCGAGCCAGGACGAACGTAACGGGATATTGCCCCTAAACCCTGAACCTTAAACTCTAAACCCTACACCCAAAGCCCTAAACCCTAAACCCTAAACTCTAAACCCTACACCCAAAGCCCTAAACCCTAAACCCTAAACCCACCTCTTGATTATATTAGCCGAGCAGGCGCCGAGATAGGAAGCCCGAAGCACCAAATAAGTCCAGGGTTTTGTGAAGAAGGCCGTGCTTGCATGGCCCTGGTGCATATTTATTTATGTTAGAGTATATTATATCACATAAATAAATATACATAAATATAAATAAACATAGATATAAATACATATATATATATATAACTATCAAATCCTAAGTTTGGCCTGAATGACTGGCATTGCAAGGCAGATTGCAAGAGAATGCTGTCACTGGTTCTTCGGGTATATACCTTTATCAGCGCCCAAAATCCGAAACCCTTGAAACGGCCAGGTGCCTTGGAAAACGGCCGACATCTCAAAGTACGAGACCAAACACCGTCCTGCTCTTGGACATGTACGCGCATGCATCCAAATAACGGACGTAGGGACCTCTGCATGTCTCGACAACCCTAAAACCCTTCACAGGCTGTATATATCATCGCAAACATGGCGTGCAGGTTGAGAGTTGGGCATCTGGAGGTGTAAAAAGCAGCTAGGGTTAGGTTTTAGGGTTTAGGGGTGCCGCAAAACAACATAAACATGAGGATCTCAGAATTTAAATCTTCCGAAATGCGCCTAATAGGGCTCCTGATACCACAGATGTAGGATCCTTCCGTTCATTACCCGGAAGCACGGAAATGGATAAGCCCTGACGCTGATATTTCGGCTTACAGGGGGGGGGGTCAGGCAGTTGACATCCAGTACAGATTAGGTTCCTCGGCGTTCCATCAACATTGTAGCTGCTAAGGACGATGAGACCAGTCTGCTACGTGCATGCCTTGATGATGCTGCCTCCATAAACCCCTGCATACAGACCTTGACCACCATATGCCATACCCCAACTTCACCTATGCTCATGTCATTATCGTACTTCGCTGCTTGATGAAGTGCTGGAAAAAGCGCGACCTGCATCGCACGGCCCATGTCACTGACACCATGCGTCCCCTTCTCAAGCCCTGGAGGCTGAACCAAATGAAATAACCCTGCATTCGCAAAGGCTCCATGTACCTTTATAGTAGATACTTAAGCCCCAAAGTAGTCCCTTTATAGGTACTTTAAGGCCTAAGTATATACTATATGGGTACATGGAGCCTCTCGGATTTGCAACGCGTAGCGGCAGGACCAGCCTAAACCAAAGCCCTGTAGACAACAGGCCCCAAGCCCTCAAGCCAAAATCAATCGTAAACGTGATTACTATTACCCTAGACCGTAAGCCCCAGAACCCCTACAGCAAAGAGACAAACATAGAACCTTTTTATATAGAACCCTCATAGAACCCTAAACCCAAAGTGCGCCTCGCAATGGACCTCTCCAATCGGTGCCCGGTTCTTGTTGCAGGTGACAGGGCACATGAAACCATCAGGCACGTTAGAACCTGACGAGGGTTCAGGGTTTCGGGTGTCAGTTGCAGGGGTCAGGGTAGCTTCGTCCCGGTACTCCCTGGAAGGCAAGGCTGTCATAGGGTTTTGCCGCTGGTGTCCTATATTGCTACTCAACTTTGGGACTTTAAGCAGGACTAGACCCCAAAACAGACAGAGCAGGGTACCACTGGGCGAAGTCATGGGGTCCTCGGGGTCTTGGGTTTTTGGAGGATCCTACTTCTGGGATTATAGAGTATCGTGTTGTGGGATGCTGAGCTCTTGATTTCAGGGGGACGGTGTGTATGCAGGGGTTGTCCGACTCACTGGTTCTCATGTTTTCCAGTACATGACCCATGAAAGCAAGTGCCACAACCATAAACTCTAAGCCCCAAACTCCAGAAAGATAATATAGAACCCTGAAAAATTTGACCAGGGTGTGGGGAATCTCATACTACAGACACAACCGGAAACCCTAAGAACTGCCACCACGAATTACAACGGTCTTATTTACCGTAATCCTAGCATGCATTGTTAAGCGATCCCTGGGTATACTCCCAGAATATAGGGGCCTTGGTAATCAGAATGGGGTTTTGGGGCCCAGTCTACTATAATTACAGTAAGGATCCCTCAAAATAGGTCCAGTAGTTTTTAAGGCCCCTATATTATGGGAGGCTCACTCGCTTTGTCATGATACTGAAAACTGAACAGTACCCCAAGGCCCTCTTGAACAAAAAACAGACTCCATATCATGATGTGCAAGGCCTTGAAAAGCGATAAGACCCGAGAACATCGCCACGCCAAGCCCGATTCTACATATTCACACCCCATTTCCGGGCCCTTTGAAAAAACGACAGAACCCTAGAACACCCAGAACCCTAGACCCGCAAGCCACAGAAAGTTAAGCCGAGCCAGGGCACAGAATGCTTGAACATCGTCGGAAAGGATGTTGGAACTTCCCACGTTTTTGCTCGGCGGAGAAACACCTGAGCTTCGGATCTTTCTCGGAATGGGTTTAGGGTTTAGGATTTAGGTGTTAGGGCTTCGGGTCAAGGGTTCCTTTAAAGGGTGCCTATACAAGGTTCCTTTGGGCTCACAGTGGATACCAGGGTTGAATACATTGGGACCGTAATGGCTAGGATATGGTTTTGAGGTAGCTTGTCGCATAATCATGATGGGGAACCTTAGGAATAACATAATAAAGGGAACTCCAGAAAGTTGGAATATGGATTAATGGTAGGATCCCCTATAATTTACCTTAAAGGGGTTACGATAATGATATTCAAACTTTCTGGCTTCTACTGTATGTTGTTCAACAGATTTTGGATGATTTTGGGGCTCGGAGTTGGTGTTTTTTCAGGCCTACACGCCCATCCCAAAATATAACCCAGAAAAAGGAAGTACAATGGAGACTGTAGGTAGATGGGTGCATGCCCTAAACCCTAAACCCTGAACGCCTCAACCCTACTTGGAGGTTTATGGGTAGTTATAAGAAGGGTTATAAGTAGGGTAACTATACTTATAACCGAAGTTAGGGGACTTATAACCCCACTTATAAGTAGGCCCTAAACGTTCAAGTCGATCAGCCAAAGGCAGAAACAAGCGTGCAGTTCCGGGATTGCGAGTTAGGATTAGGGGGACCATTGGGGACAAAGACCCTCTCAATAAGGTCCCTTTTAAGAGAGCCAGAAGTAGGGTTCAGAAGGGGTACCCTTTAAGGGGTCTCTGAGAATACTACCTAGGGAGAAAGCAATGACGAAACCAAAGGTTGGTAGCTTAGAGGCTTGCATCAACGCTGGGATGAATCGGCACGAACCATATGAGAGTTTCCAAAAATTGGGGACCCCAATATAGTACCCTCAAGAGTAGGACCCGTATTAGAAGGACCCCAAAATAAGGTACCCCTAGTTTTCCGAAACTCCCATATAGCCTGAAATGGACCTGAATGCTCCAGCTCTGCTACGAAGAGGGCCCATAGCCTTGATCCAGAGATGCACCCGACATCAGATTACTAGACCCAAGAGTAACCTAGAAACAAAAAAGTGGCCCTTTTTGGCTTAAAGGGGCCTATAAGAGAACCTGAACTCTAGGTCCTAGATTAAGGATCGCGCTTTGTTCAAGATAAGCCCTTCGTCAAAGGATGTCGGGTTCTTTGGGCGGGGTTGAGTAAGTTTAGTTCTGAGGGTTCATGTGGACCCCCAAACGCACAAGAAATCCCAAAGTATCTCCTGCACGCAAACTTACCAGCCGCCTGGGCATACTATAGGGGCCTTCATAATTAGATTATACTATAATCATAATAAGGAACCCCGAAAATAGGACTGGTAATTAAGTATTTCGGCCCCTATGTTACCTGAATAAACGCACGCCCTTTGCCTTCCTTTAGACCTCAAGCCCCACAGACGTGACCCTCCTTCGAGGGTTCGGGGAAAAAGTGACACAAGCCCAGACCCCGGGAGAATCCAAAAAGAAGATCCCTTAATGGGGGTTCCTATAAAGTACCCTTCGTAGTATAGGACACCAAATTAGGGGATCTACTTTCTAGATCCTCCGGGGGTCTGGGAAAGCGATCTACCGATGAAGTCCCCTGACCTTGAGAGCAAAGTTTGACCACGCGAGGCGCCCCATAGCATGTGCAGCTCCTTAATACAGCCGTAATAGACATTGCAAAACCCTTAATCGTACCCTTTACATATATGTATAACTATATAAGCATCCACTGTATAAACATACATACACACACACACACACACACACCTATGAACATACATATATATATATATATATATATATACACATACATATGTATATATATATATATATGTATACAACTATTCATTTATTTATTTATTAATTATACTTTATTCATTTATATATACATATATATACATATATATATATATATATACATACTTGTATATTCATATATGTCTACAATCATCTATTTATTCATATTAGTTTGCTTGTATCCTTGCTGCTCGAGGCACAGCCTTGCCTTGGAATCCCGCCGGCCGGAGCGATGTGAAACCAGTACCAGCGCCCGGAAAAGCCCACGGAGCAGGGGTACATCTCCTCGGGGATCTTCGTAGGGGTTTAGGGTTCCCTTTAAAGGGATCTTCTTAGGGGTTTAGGGTTCCCTTTAAAGGGATCTTCTTAGCGGTTTAGGGTCCCTTTAAAAGGGATCTTCTTAGGGGTTTAGGGTTCCCTTTAAAAGGGATCTTCTAAGGGCTTCGGGTTTTTGGGGGGTGTGGAGTCTACCTTAACCTACCAAAACATACTTTTTTTTTGGGCCCCTATAAATTCCACAGTAGGGTTTATAACAAGAAGCTACAGAAAAGTAGGGTTTGGTAGTTTAAGGTAGAGTTTAGGGTTTGGGATTTCGGTTTGCGATTGTGTTTTGGCTTAGGGTTTGAGGTTTCAGTGGTTTTCGGAGGGCTCCTTTTCTTACTGCTCTCACCGGTGGGACATTCGTCGGCTAAGCCGGCTAGGATGAGCCTGTGGTTGGGGCCTGCTTCGTGGACGGAGAACGCTTAATCCGAAATGGGAGTTTCCGAAAATAGGGGACCCTAATATAGTACCCTAAATAGTAGGATCCTTATTATAAGGACCCCTAGAAAGGTACCCCCCAGTTTTCGGAAACTCCCAAATCTGTCAAACCCTATACAGACCTTTAGGGCTGTGGGCTGCGGGTCTTGAGTTTGTTGGTTCAGGACGTGGGGTTTAGGGTTTAGGGTTTAGTGTTTGTTTTATGGGGCGGATTTCGGTCTGCTGAAGCCAAGGCCCAATGCTATGATACCGAGACTTCTGGTACGTGATCAAAGGATAACAATGGCGTGGTGCCCCCATGTTCGGATGATTCAGGTGCCGTAACTACAAGACTGGCAGCAACCCTGTCCTAGAGGTCCTATACGGACCCAATATCTAGGTACCCGGGTAAAGGATAGTAGTTTCTATGTAGGTCATTAAATGGGCGAGTATATTATATGATAATCACGTACTTGGACCCATGGGGCTGTATATGAGCAACAGCTGTGCTGGGACATTGAAGGATAAAGGCCTAAACCCTCAGTACTACTTTAAACTGAACCTAGCTAAACCCTCACACCGCTAAACCTGCAACCCGGAGCCCTCAACTAAACGCCAAAACCCTCGAGCCCAACATGATTATAGGAAGTACCACGAAACAAGGATACCCTAAAATAAAGAGCATCTTTATTTGCAAGCACTAAATACTCCTAAACAAGGTGACCCTCCTGGTTGCAAGAAACCTGAACCCTAAGCTCTGAACCCCACAAGTTAGAAATCTCTTGAACGTTGGACTACTACTTCCACGTCAGCACCCTGGCCGTAATGCGGCAAAGGGGCTCGCGACGTTATTGTCCGCCTGAGACACATCCACCCGCAGAGGGATTGCGAACCCATTCCCTCAACCCTGCACCTCGAAACGCGAAAACCTCTCGCAAACCCTAAACCCCAAAACCAAACCCCTAAACCCCAACTCCCAAGAGGCCCAGCATCCTGTTTCGACTCGAGTAGCTCCATGGTATTCATCCTAAACTTTACTACAATATTGACAAGAGGGAAGGAGTCTATTGAGTTCTTGTCAGGGTTTAAGAAAGCGGCACCCCTTAAAGGAACTCCTGAAATTCAAACCCTAAACCCTAAACCCTAAACTCTAAACCCTAAACCCCTAAACCCTCAACCCTAAACGTGCCTGGTGTTCGACTTGGTGATGGTCACCAGGTCCGGACATGGTTGGAGCGGCTCGGGAGCGTCCTTCTTGAAACGGGCTTTAAAAAAAGGGGCCTGTAAGAATACCTTTACAGTAGAAGCCGGAAAGTTGGAATATAATTATCATAATCCTTTTAAGGTAAATTATAGGGGATCCTACCATTATTCCATATTCAAACTTTCTGGAGTTCCCTTTAAGGGATCTATAAGGATTACAAAGTAAAGGTACTATAGGGCTCGGGTTTAGAGTTTAAGGCTTAGGGTTTTCTTCCAAGGGGCTGTATACGAGGGTTTAGTAAGGGCGTTATAGGGTTTAGGGTTTAGAGGGCTTCATGCTTTACAGAGTTTAAGGTTTCAGTGTTTAGAGGGTTTGGTGGGGTTTTACTATAAGCGGCATTTTTGGAGGGTTTTCCTTCTTCTGAGAAGCCTTTAAAGTGGGTTTCGGGTCTTTGGGGTTAGGGCTTTTGGGGTCTAGAGGGTTCTATAGATTATAAATGGTAGAACAAAGCTTCAGGGTTTATATTCAAGACAGGCTCTTGTTGCACGGGTTTAAAAGAGTTTCTTTACGGATCCGGCTCGGCAGTCATCTGGGTTTCATGGTATGGTTCTGAAGGATGTTTCAAAGGATATGGGGGTTTCCGAAAATAGGGGACCCTCATATACTACCCTGAATAGTGGCATCCCTAGTATAAGGACCCCAAAACAAGGTACCCCTGATTTTCGGAAACTCCAATATTAAGCTTGAGCGCCCTGAGCGTGCATGGGGTTCCCTGGAGTTTTCCAGCAGGAGAAAGGTTTTGAGAATGACTCTTGTCAGTAGACAACCTGATGTTGTCCTTTTAACCGCAAGGCTGGCGAATTGACCTCCGTAATATAGGCCTTAAAAGGGGTCCTTTTCTGGGTACTTATTAGGCCTAAGTACCTACTGTATGGGTACATGGAGCCCTTGGGTTGAAATCAAGTCACCACCATAACTCGTACATCGCTCTACCCTAGGCATCTAAGGACTCATATATTGAGGCTTTTGGGCCCAAAGACCATATTATGTAAGGCTTTTGGGCTATTTTGTTGCCCGGGGATAGTCAGGTCATGACGACTGCAGCATCCATCATCACTACTACTAAGGCACATCTGCTCAACTCCCACAAATCTCAAACATGATGTCCTACAGCCCTGCCGCACGCCCGAAAGGCCTAAACCCTTTAAGCCCTAAATCTTCAACGCCGTTACGAAAAACTAATCCCAAACCGACCGATGCCCATCACGTCGCCCGAGCCCTCATTCAATCTCCAAGCCGAAACTCCGAAGCCGAAGCCCCAAAGAACGATAGCCGGATGATCCCTACATGTTTTCTGTGTTCATAAGCGGGATCTCTATCAGGTTTAGGGTGTAGCTTATTTAGGTTCTACGGAAGCTGTTGGTTTTATATACTTGTGATATCTGTTTAGGAACAAATTTTGGGTTGTTGCACCCACGGCATACGAATGGTCATTACGGTTCAGCGATTCCCAAACAAAACCCGAAACAGTAAAGCAAGTTCAGTCCAGCTCTTGCGTCACGCCCCACCACCCCGGTGGGATATCGTCGATAGGCACCACCCAGAAGGACTGGACAAGGCCTCTCAATGCTCTTCTGCACCCTGTGAACCCTACTTGGAGTTTCATGCAATGGTTGCAGGTGCTTTAATAGAGTTTTTGGTAGTCACCCAAGCCCTAGTTCAAAACACCTCAACCCCGAACGCTGAATCCCCAAACTCTACCAAACCCTCCGGCGCCGACCAAGAAACAATCAAACAAACAGCTGAATCCTCAAAGCCTACTGAACCTTGCAAGTAACATCCTCAACCATACACATCCAAAGCCCTAGACCTCAATTAACTACGGGTTAATTCTAGGGCTGATTCGGTTGATGATATAAATCCTGCATTGCTCATAACAAGGAATATACCATAATTCCCATAGTTCCGGGTCATTGAGGTAATGCAGGATCCATATCATCAAGCTAAACCATAACCCTAAAACCCTGTAGCTTTAATGGAACCCCTTAAAGGTACCCTTATAGATTCCTTTAAAGGCACCCTAGGATTTTGTCTCATCAACCGTTGTTTACGGTTTGAAGACTGCGAGGACGCAGAGGCTCTGTTGATGCTTCCTTGCCTTCCGTTTAGGGTTTAGGGTTTAGTAATCATATACCCTCCAGACCACCAACCTACAAAACCAGGATTCTAAAATCAAGTGCAGAATATTGAACACTTTGGATCGTGTGGGGCCGTGTGGGGTTTCTGTGCATTTTGGGAATACGTGGTTTAGGGTTTCGGCTTGGGCCCTGTAGCGGCGTTTAGGTTGGGTCTAGGGTTTAGGGTGGGTTTGGGAATGGAAGGGCTTAGTAAGGTTTAGTATTGATGCCCGCTGGATCACTTAGGATATCGCACCCTTTTCGTAAGTCTTGTAGAGCCCTTTTATTTCCGTGTAGCTTTGAACAATCCGGATCCCAGATGCGACTTGAGATTCAGATAGGTCAGGGCACGTGCCGGTTTTGACAAGCCTTTAGTCGGAAGTGGGGGATTCAGCAAGTAAAAGTAGGTTATGGTCACCTTGTCTTGCAGTATCCCCTTAATAACAACGGTTAGATTTCTGCTTGAATTCAGTTTCAAGAAGGAACACCACAATCGTGCCGGTGATGCTGGGAAGTATGCTGCCAGTGCCGCTAGTGATGCATTGAATTGTGATGGTGATGCTGCAGGTGCTGCGGTACCAGTGGGGGAGACTCATTGATCAACATGTTTATGACATACATGTATGCACAAGATCGCTTGCCATGTTCATGCGACAGGAAAGCGGTAGGGTTCCGATCGAATAGATCCAGATAGTGCTTAAGTATGAGGCGAAAAATGCAGCCACTAAATGGCCACCACAGTAGCCTCAGGCGTGAGTCGACAGTAAGTCGTCGTGGTGATATAGTGCATACATGTGCATATCGTTGGTCATCATTGGTTCGAACAGGTGAACTCCGATGAATCCCCACCTGGCGCAGTCGATGGCACTAGGTCGGTCGCTGCGTCGTTGGTTTCGCCCACGGCGGCCACGTGAAAAATGCCGCCGGTGTCCTTACAGACTTTGGCTTAAGGTATATATAGGGCTTTAGGATCCAGAGGTTCATAGATCTTTATTTGGGGCTTTGAAGGTAGTGCTCAGGGTTATGCGGTTGTCAGACTTTCAGGATACTGGGAACTCAACTTAGGGCAGCATGGAGCCTGCCTTCGAGCAACCCTGAGACAACTAACAAAAACTGGACTACGGCTTACAGGGTTTGGGGCTTAATCAATAATAACACTTAGAGTTGTGTTTTGGCGTATATCATGGAACAATGATAATACGAAAATCTAGCAACAATAGCTATAATCATTATACAACTTCGTTGCCAGCGAAAGTCCGCATCCAGAGGGCCCATCGAAGGAGCGCGCTTGTAGCCTGAGCTGCGCAGATTCGGTTTTACAGGTGTGTGCATGTGCATCTGCATATGTACATAGGCATGTATGCATGCAGAATGTAGATATATAAATATAAATATATATATATATATATGCCTGATGCAGTAGGAATGATTAATTACGAGTTTTGCGTATAGTATTTCGATATATCCATGGCATATATGTATACGTATAGTATAGATGTAAACGCACATACACGCATACATATGTGTAGTAGGATCTGCCGCCTGTCAGCCTATGACACAAACACGCACGATCAATCGCAGCCTTGTGCGCATTGTGCCGGCTGCAGCAGGATGTAATCGAGGGTCGGCATGTATCGATGGTTCAGCTTGAAGCAGGAGATCGCAAGAAAAAAAATGGTATGGTGTAGGGGTACTACTGGGCGACCTAGGGTTCAACGTTGAGGACTTGGAGAAGCTGCCAGCAATATCTCACCAATGGACAAGCTGGATCGGTGGCTGAATGTGAAATTGGGCTCAACTCCTACTTCTTGCTTGGTGCTGATGGAGAATCCCTTAGGCTCCACATGTACCTATTCCTATATGGTATATACTTAAACCTTGAAGGGGTTCCTATGTAAGTACTTGAAGCCCTCAGTGTATATCACAAAGGCACATCAAATTCCCTAAAACCTACCCGACCCTGAAGCCTACTTGCCTAATTTGAACCCGAAGACAGATACCTAAGCAGAAAGCCCAAAGCGAAACCTATCGAAACTCTCCGTCCGTGTTGAGGGTTTAGGGATCATGAGGGTCGTGACAAGATAAAGGCCACGCGCCATTGTGCAACTCCAAGCCTAGTTGGGGGTGGGGGGGTGCATAAATCAAAACCCGGGTAATCCAAGCATTGAACTTCCTCCCGACCCCAATATCCGAAAGCCCTAGACTTTACACCTCGAACTTCCTCGTGTCCACTGCCGAAATATCCCAAAGCTGGAAGCCCGTCAGATCAACAAAACCTGTGTTATGCTTGGCTACCCTTGGGTTTGTATCAGGGTTTGGGGCCGGCGTTTGCTTACCTTTGGTTAGTAGGGAATGGAGTAATGGGGTACAATTATAAGTACTATATTACTACCATTCTTCCATTCCCTACTAACCAAAGGTAAGTTTGGGGCCGGGGTTTGGGGTCAAGGTAACCGTTTGGGTTTGTAGTATAACAAAAACGGAAAATTGGTCCTAAGGACAGCCCAGCCCAAACCCAAACACCAAACCCTACACCTCTAAACCCAATGATCTAAAAACCCTGATCCCCTCAACCCCAAACCCTAAACCCCCCTAAGCCCCCTGAACCCGGGGAAGCAGCAGGTGATCTTCGAAAAGACATCGCCGATCATCCGCCCCTCCGGCCCAGGAAAGAAGCCTCGAACTTGCGGAACTTTCACATCTTCGTTACTGTAGGAACCTGATTAAGAAACCTTGGGCCTTTACTTACTAGGGTTCCTTTAAAGGGGTCTATAAGGGTGACTATACAGGATCCATAAGGGTAGTCATAGAACCCCAAATCTGCCAATAGACCCTCATAGAACCCCCAAAGAAACCAATAGAACCCTCATGGAAACCCAAAGAAACCGGTCTAGGGTTTAGGGTTTAGTAGACCCTCATAGGTGAGACTAAGGGGGGAAGTTGGGCGAAGAGCCCGGTGGAGTCTTGGAACTCTTCACCATCTCTATGGTTGGTCGTATGCTTGCAAGCAATACCCATAGGCTCCATTGAAGCTCCTGTTGGTGGTTCATACTTAGGTGCTATGAGGGAATCCCAAAAAGGAACTACCTACTATGGAGCCTATGCGTATAGGCTATAGGGGTCTGCATAATTGGGCTAGGGTTTGGGGGGCATTTTCGGCCATAGTATTTTAGAGCTTCAGAGAATATAGGGTTTCGGGTAAAATAAGGAAATAAGGAACGAAGCCCACATGCTGTCTCAGCTCACCAGTGCCTCTTTGTACCAAACCCCGAGGGCTTCCCATATTTGTGTACATGGGACTTATAACTCACAGTAGTTGCAATCAAGCCACTGAACCTTGCCTGCAACGACTTGAAGCCTAAACCCTAAAGCTCCTAAGCCCTACACCCCCCGAACCCTGTAGGGTTTAGGGTTTAGGGTTTAGGGTTTAGGGTTTAGGCCTAAACCCTAAGCACCCAAACCTGTAACCTCTACTCTCTACTGGATTGTGCTTTAAACCCTTTGAAAACCATTTGCGAATAGGTTCCCTTTATGAGGAAATGAGAGAAATTTTAAATTTGTCCCAAAGCACAACCCTAAACCCTAAACCCTAAACCCTAAACCTCCAAGCCAGCCCTTTCGCTGTGAAGGGGCTACAGGCTTGGACGATCGCATCGGCCTGGGATCGCTTCGTTTTACGTGGGCTCCGTTTTCAGCCCAAGGCTTTGGGTTTTAGGATATAATGTAGGGCTTAATAATTAGAGTAGGGCCCCTTTAAAGCTGTAAGGGATACTACAAGGGATCTATAAGATTTAGGATATAGCGGCCGTAATAATTGGAATAGGGTTTTGGGGCCCCTTATACTTATTGTAGGGTTTAGGGTTGAGGGCCCCCTTAAACAGAGCCCCATAGATGTTCGAGCAACTAGCTCCGAAAGCCATCATAGGGGTCCAAGCGCCGAACTCTGTCTCAAACTCCAGTGCTCAATTACTGGGCCGTTTACACCCCTAGAGCGCTACGCAAGGAATCCTAGAAGGGATCTGTGGGTGCTACTATAAGAGATATGTGAAGGACTGAGGGTTTAGTAGACGTGGGGCTGTCAGGCTTGGGTTACCAGCCAGCAACTACACTGGTTTCAAGCGCTCTAGACTGTAACTGTACCTTTACATGCCTATCTATCTATCTATCTATATATATATATATATGGTCCCCCCCCCCCCCATGACAGACCATCCCCTTTAAAACATCGCTCCCACCGGCGTGTTCGTGCTTTTTCCGGAGTATCGAGTTTGAGCCCTCCGAACGTATCCCTGGAACCACCAAAAGACTGAGACCAGAAAGCAGCACGATAAGGCGCGCGGGTGTCCTACCAAGAAAGGAATTACAGAGCACACGTGTATGGATGAGGGTTGTGCTGACACACTACATAGTAAGCACTACACAGTAATCTTACTTGAGTCATATATAGAGCAGATTCCAGCATTTCCAAAATTTCCAAAATTCTCTCCCCTAACTTTCCAGATTTCCAAAATTTCCAAAATTTCCAAAATTTCCAAAATTTCTAAAATTTCCAAAATTTCCAAAATTTCCAAAATTTCCAAAATTTCCAAAATTTCCAAAATTTCCAAAATTTCCAAAATTTCCAAAATTTCCAAAATTTCCAAAATTTCCCGACCTAGTCGACAGGATTTTTCCAAAACATAAGGGCGGACTTTTTGGAAATTTTGGAAATTTTGGAAAGTTTGGAAATTTTGGAAATTTTGGAAATTTTAGAAATTTTGGAAATTTTGGAAATTTTGGAAATTTTGGAAATCCGGAAAGTTAGGGGAGAGAATTTTGGAAATTTTGGAAATGCTGGAATCTGCTCTATATATGACTCAAGTAAGATTACTGTGTAGTGCTTTTAACACTAACGTTGACATGTATATTAATGCTTTCATTTCGAATATGCACATTACTACATAATTCTATTATTAACATTAATACTCCTACGCCTACCAATAGTCAGATTCATATTGATATTAATGCCAATACTAACAGACACCTGCGTATATTAATGTCCGCAGATATACATACCACTATCTGAAAAGCAAATATATCAATGCATTCGTGTACTAACGTAGTATATTCGTATTTAATTTGTCATATACCCAGTTTCCAACGTGACAATATACTACTTGTTAACGTCTGATTATACTGTATTGATATGCTAACTTGCTAAGACACGAATACTGTAATATGCAAGTACACTGACACATGGCAATGGTATACTAACATATGGATATACCAAAAAAGTTGTTAGATAATATACGAATATGATAAATGAAGTAGCATACCAGGATACTCATATACTAATATGTTAATATTCGAAGATAATAGCACACCAATATACTAATGTACTCATGCACGAACGTACGCATGCATTAATATACTAAGAGCATACAAACATGCAGGTATACAAACATATTACTGTTCGAATACATTATAATGTGTTGGTATACTAAGCTGTTTATATAATCTATCAGTATACTAATATATCAAAACTAATTATAGTATTGATACGCATACTAGCACGTCCGCGAATATTACACTGATGTTAAATTCATCATTAAGACTGATTAAAACTGACATCGACATTGGCACTGGCATTAACACTAATTATCACTAAATATGCTAGTGTACTAATATACGAATACTGTAAAAGGCAAGTACACTGACATGTTCACATGCCATTATGCCAACATATTGATATACCTATAAGCTATTAGGGAAAATACGAATATAGTAAATGTAGTAATAGACCACTATAATAATATACTAATATACTACTACGTTAACATACGAATATCATGATACACCAATATACTAGTGTACTCATGCACCAACGTACTAATATATTCGCGCAATCTTCAACTCTGCAAATATACTATTGTTCGAATACATTACTGTATTATTATATTAAGCTCAAAATGTACGAATCAATCAGTATATTCACATATCAAAACTATTTCTAATACTGATACTAATACCAGCACTTCTGTGAATAATAAACAGATACTAAAACCAGCATTCAGACTGATACTAATACTAACACGAGTACTATTACTGACATTGACATCGACACTGGCACTAACACCAGCACGAACATAATCACGAGTTCATATTTACTATTATTGATATGTATACTTTTATTCAATACTAATACTAATACTGATGCTAATACTAATACTAAATACCAATACCAATACTGGTACTAAAGCAATACCCATCCTAGTATCAATACTACCACAAAACTATTACTCATATGAACACTGATACCAGGATTAGGACTACTACAAACAATGACAGCAGTACTAAGAATAGAACCAAGAACAATACATATTAATCCTAACACTAATACTAGTACTAATACTAGCTACTAATTCTAATACTCATACTCATACCAATACTAATGTCACCACTACTGCTGCTACTACTACTGCTACTACTACGACTACTACTACTACTACTACTACTACTACTACTACTACTACTACTACTACTACTACTACTACTACTACTACTACTAGTACACATACTTAATACTAAAACTAATACTGATACTCATACTAGTCACTAATACTAATACTAATACTCATTCTAATACTAATACCAATACCAATACTAATGCTACCACTACTACTGCTGTGCGACAACTATTGCTAGTACGACGACTACTACTATTAACATCAATACACATACTTAATGCTAATACTAAGAGTAATACTAATTCGAATACTATTACTCATACTAAACATCCTAATATCAATACTACCACAAAACTAATACTAATGCTAACACTGATACAAGAATTAAGATCTACAAACAGTAATAGTGGTACGAAGAGCAGAATTGAGATTAAGATTGGGACTAGGAGCGCTGCATGCGTGTGAAGAAATTTCCAAAAATTGCAAACCATCTAAAAGAACATTTTGGAATTGAGTTTGGGAGAAGTGTCTGTCGCCTATCCGTTGACAGATCCTGCCTGGGGACGCACGCCACCCTTCCCCTTCCCCACGACGGTCTGTCATGGGGGGGGGGGTGAGCATATATATATATATATATGTATGTATGTATGTATGTATGTCCAATATACATAATTACAAACATGCACATATTACACGGATAGAGAGAACCCCTGAGAGATTGCTTAAACCTTCAGTATACAAGCCACCATATTGTCAACCTTTCAGCGAAGCTCTCAATGCCAAGAAGCATGCATGTCGTCACTCCAAGCAGCCATTGCGTTTGAGGCGGGCTAGGTTGGGGGTTTAGGGTGCGCTACTTTTCTGACACTATACTGATGTGCACTTTTATACACGACCAATAAATCTTTAAATTAAAGCTTCTCGAAAAAACTCAAAAGCAGGTCTTCTGACGAGGCACCCACTGCTTTGAAGTGGTCTGCGACGGGTCGAGGGGCTGCGCCAGTGGACAGCTGACCGCGAAGTTCTTCGTCGTCACGAGGCCTAGCTGAAGACGCCAGCCAGCACCAAGTAAAACAAACAGAAACAGCGGAGTCCGTTAAGGAACCCCTGAACATCCGTTACTTACTCGGCTTCTGTTTAGGATGATAAGGTCTTGTGCAGTCTTGGTTTCTAGCCAGAGATTGCCTAGGGCTTGCCGAGGGTTTTGAAAGAGGCCTAATGAATCTTGTCATTACGCTTCAGATGTAGCCTGCAGTCCTCCCATCCCAAACCGCTTCACCCCTGAACCCTGAATCCCAAACAAGAATCACCCCTAAACCCCGTAGAAACAAGACTCCTAAATCCTAACCCCTAAACCCGGGCGCATAACCCTGAACCTCAGGCTTTAACCACCCGGAACATTCCTATAATGCAAATCTATCAGCCCCAATCTGACTCTCGCCTCATCGCACACCATGCGCAGCCCTGAATCCTACAAACCCTAAACCCTACAGCCCTACCTATAGTCTCCATTGTAGTTCCTTTTTGTGGTTAAACCCATTATATATTAAGGATCCTGTAAGGTAACCCAAAAAAGGAACTACAATGGAGACTATTTAGGTACAGTATATCCTAACCCCAGAGAACGCTGGGCCGCCTCCAGCGCTACGAATCTTCACATGGCCCGTGACGTCCGTGGGTATGGCTGAGGCCGGCGATCGCGAGCCGAAGTAAAGACTGACCTTTCGGGAGGTCTTCGAATTTCAGAGGGCTTTGTAGAAGTTCTTAAGAGCTTATACAAGGCTTTCTACCGGATTAGCTTATGATGCTTTGTCTAGGGGTTTTAGAGCGCCGTTTACGCTAATATAGTGATTTAGAGAAGTGCTTCGCAGAGTTCTCCACGGGTTTTGGAGGAGCGCATTGTAGTTCTGACCCTTGCAGCCTTTACTTCTGGTGGAACACTTTCAGCATACGGCCCAGCCCGGCCCAACTTGGTCGATGATTTGGGCTTGAAACGGCAGGGCTTTAGTTAGGGTGTCAGGATTCAAAGTTTTAGGCTGTTGGCTTCCTTTGGTTCTGGGCTCAAGGTTTCGGTGTTTAGCGGTTTCTTGATTGCTGCAATTCGTCCAGACATCCCCTGACACGGGTTTACCTTCAGGATTCCTTAGGGTCATGATGGCTTCAGCTTTTGAGTTTAGGTTTAGGGTGTAGGGTTCAAACTTGAGTAAAACTTGCAGATTGTAACACCGGAATGTACTGTGCGTACACCGCCGGTCTGAAGGTTACTCAACCCGAACAGTGTCTGGAAGGCTAACTGCCACTACGGAAGAGCCCGTGGTAGAGTTGACCGAAGTACGTACACTGCCGAATCGTTGATTCTGTGAAAATCTTACTTACTCACGCCCCTGAACCAGGCGACACGAAACTCAACCATCGCAGGCCCTGCACCCAACACTCCGAGTCATGACCTGGTCCTAGACCCTAATCCCTTTACTGAACCCGAATACACCTGGAACCCTAAACGATCTGATTCCGCAAAGGCCCAAGCGCACGTAACGGTTCTCAACATATGTAACACCCTACAAGCCCGTAGCCTGACCCTTTGAAACTATTACCATTACTATAGCGCTACAAACCGAACCCTTATAACCACGCCGGCACACACGACCAGGGATGGTCTCTGAGATTCCGGAGCATACCAACCTCAGAGAAAGAAGAGTGATTTTGATCTGGGCTGTATAAAGTTTATACCCTATCCCTCCAAGGACCCCATAGTCAGGGCCCTGGACCCCTTAAGGACCCCATAATAAGGTTATTGGAGGCATAGGGTATAGGGTGTAATTAGGGGCTGTTGAGGCCTTAGGGTGATGTCCGGGCCCAGGGAAGTCAATTAGGTTTGGAGGGCGTCGCGGCTCAAACTCGCTGCTTCTTGTTCTTTGGGTGGGAGGTGCGGGGAGGTCTACTGCCATGCATTTTCCCCTAAGGGTCCATGTGCCCAAATAGTATATATATATATATATACTTTGGCCCCCATGTACCGTTTTACGGACTACTTTAAGGACAATGTATATACCACTCAGGCACATGGACCCTCAGGGTTCGGGGCTGTCGAACCGAAAGTGAAACCGTCCGAAGTCGAAGCCCCGAATCGAAGCCCCAACTCCGAGTCCCAAACCCCTAAACTAGACCTAAGACTCTCTAAAGCAAAGGAACCCTTAAAGAAGCCCTTACAGGAACCCTTAAAGGAGCCCTTCTACTAGACCCAAGAGTAACCTAGGAATAAAAAGGGTGCCCTTTTTGGTTTAAAGGGGCTCATAAGGGAACCTGAACCCTCAAAAAAAGGGAATAATGGCCTACTCTAGGTCCTAGTAAACCTAAACCCCTAAGGCCAACACTCTGGGCCCCAAACTTCTGAACCCCAAACCCCTGAACTCTAAACCTTAAGCCCTACACCCCAGAAGAGTAGAGCCGAAAAGCCCCTAAGAGGTAACGTGGTGCAGGGCATGAGGATCTCAGGCTCTTGCCGGTACCCCAAATTCCTATCCCTTCAATGTCGGGACATAACAAACAACTAAAAGAGCAATCGTAAGAAGGAGCCATAACCTACTTGTCGGGTATCATGGGGAACTAAAGGTTAACCTTTTTGGTTATATAGGGATTGTATAGGGACTATGACTATACTACCAAAAAAAAGGTTAAAGGTTACCTACACTACTACTCGGATAACGATGTCGGTGCGCGAGGAGTTTGAGTCTGAACATCTGTTCAAGGCGGGCCTTGCTGGAATGTACCACCGAGAAGTGAGATTGAAAGAAGAAGGCATAGGGTTTAGGGTTTAGGGTTTAGGGGTGCATGCGACATGAAACGAGAAAGAACAATAACACACTTATATAGCCCATGCCAACAACAACACAATACTAATTACCCTAAACCCTGAACCCAACGTTATTCAATGACCAGGCACGACAGCTGCGCAGACACAAGAGGTGTCACCAGCAGGAGGAGTCGGAGTAGTCGTTGCACAAACATTGTTGCGCGACCTCCTGGTCCGCGATACAATCGGCTCGAACCCTAAACCCTAAACCCGTAACTCCAAAACCCTGAACTGCACCCCGAACCCTGACCCTTAACTTTGATCGCAATCCAACACCCTTGACTATCCCAAAGCTGTGGTCTTGGGTGCCTTCGGGTTCTACGCTGTTGGCCTCCAGAGCTTACTAGTTCATGGTTGGGATAGGATTAAAAATCTAAATTTCTGTTCCTTATAAGTACCCATAAAAATTTAAAATGTTACCCAACTATGACAAAGTTTAGAGTCAGTGTTTGGGGCTGTAGGGTTTAAGTTTACGGAACTCGGCGCATTTGCCTTGCAATGCCGCGCCAGCAGATTGCTTAAGGAGTGAACCCTACAAGAAAAAAAACATGCGGTGGGATGATGTCTGTTTCGATCATCGTTGTGGACATTTCGCCAGCAGTCAAGCTTATCAATGCTTGCAAGGATCACGATCTCCGTGTCAGGAAAAACACACATTTGCAACAGTAGCCCTAAACTCCAAACTCCCAAACCGCACAGCCCTTATGCAAACCCTAAACCGGTTGAGGCTTCAGTGTAATTGGCTGTCCCAGACCAGACCAGTGGCACCAATCAAGAATCACCTAGAGTCTACGCCCCAAAATCAATGAACCACAAATTTTGGTGGATTTTCATCCACCAACCCACCACTTTCGGGCCTTCTGTGCAAGACTGCGGCTTTGGATATCCTGGCGATATTGGCGGTCGCGGCTGGGGGGCTTCGGGTTTACCCCGAACCTGGCCCTTCAGGAGCCCATTATTTCGGACGTTAGCTTACACAATAAGCTCCATAGTAGGTCGTTTTGTGGATTTTCTTAGAACCACAAAAAGGAACTACAATGAAGCGTATGGGTGCACTCTACTGGCACAATCCTTCATCGCAGGGACAACATCTTCCTTTGGGCTATAAGAGGGATCTGTCATATGAGTCTACAATCCTTCATGTCAAAGAAGATGACCATATTGGATTATAAGAGGGATCTATCAAATGACCCGTCATGGCAGGGAAGTCATCTTCATTGGAATATTGGAGGGTTTTTCAAAATAAGCCTGCCATCATACAAGGGAAGTGGGGCTCTCCGGCTTCATGACTTTAAACAACATTCTTGGGAGGGAGAGAGGGCCGAACACCAAGCACTGAACTGTGTCAAGTGCTAGGTTTGCTTGCCCAAATCGGTGGTTGGCTCTTTGGGGGCGGGGAATTTTTTTAAAGACACCCTAAGTAAGTAAGTTCTCTGAAACAGGCCCGGAGCTACCAAGCTCTGCAGCACTCGACATCGAAATCAGACGCCCAGGCTCGCGGAGCAAGGGCCCACGGGGGTTTCGGCTTGCAGCACTCATCCAATAACCATTTTTTCTAATCGCCCTCCAACTTTATGTTGGATGGGGACCATTGAACCTAAACACCTACAGCCAAGGGTCCAGAAACCTACCCTTCATGTTTGTTGTCGGACACTAACCCTTGAACCGAAGCACCTACAGACAAGGCTCCAGGTCCCTATGCTTGATATGTGTTCTCGAATACTAACCTACATTACTACTATCCGAACCCCAAGTACCTCAGTATTGAATATTCTGAACCCTGAACCCCAAAGTCCCCTTTTCGCAAGCCTTAAACCCAAAGCCCTCAGGGTCGATCCAGGATAAACTCCCACATTCCCAGTCCTTTCTACCGCGTTCGCGGTGAAACCAGGAATCCATAGCACGCTCCCTGGAGCCCCGACAAAGTTTGACTTGTGTGCCTTGAGTTGTTGTGTTTTGGGCAACGGATGTAGTGTTCTGCCGGATGCACAAAACCGACGTCAGTCGTGATCATGTTGGGTATGCGCTGGCCCTAAACAGAAAGCTGCATGGCGCCTGATGCTGAGTCTCGGAGGTTTTGGAGGTTAAGGGTTTGGCTCACATGAAAATGAGGTATGCTGGGGCTGATGTAGGGGTGCTAATAGATTTAATGCTTATTGCTAATTGTTGTATGGGATAAGTAACGCGCCGAAGCTTGGATTTGGCTGTCCAGGGCTCTTCCAAAAATCCTTGACTCGGCTGCGGCGAATGTCCGAGTTGCCCACGGAGAGCTGCCTGTTTTGGGGCTTACCGGTTTACCTTACCCCCCCCGACGAATAACCGAATTACCATTTTTTCAAGGACTTACTTAGAGGATCATGGGACTTAGTAAGTAGGTTATAATTCGGGTTATAAGTCCCCTAAGTGGGGTTATCCTATAATTATAACCTACTTATAGCCTTACTTACTAAGTCCCATGGGCCTTCAAGTATAGAACGAAATCATAAGAAGGAGCCCGGAACCTGCTGCAGGGTCCTTATTCATGTAAGTGGTTTGTCAAAATTATGGTCCCTTTCTGGCTCCTTATTTTAAAAAGGGCACCTAATATTTCGGGTACCCCCAAAAAAGGACCGTAATTTTGACAACCGCCCATGTAGGGTCCAGGTAGGGGCTAGGGTGTTTTGATTCCCCGAGAGAATCGCGTTTGAGGCAGCTCCAAGAGAAATAGTCAGGTGCCGCGCTGAGGATCAAAGATTTTGCGGCGTGGCCTATGCTTCCTTATAGGAAACTCCAGAAAGTTGGAATATGGCTTCATGGTAGGATACCCTATAATTTACCATAGAAGGGTTAGGATAACCATATTCCAACTTTCTGGCTTCTACTGTAACCCTAAGGGTCCAAAAGGACCTAATAATTAGGTACTCGGTTTTAGGATAGTAGTATGATTGCTGGGTACTTGGAGCCTTGGGGGTAATTAATCTGGATAAGGGGGATGACATCCTAAGTAATTTCGGCATGACCGTATCACGCAACCCCAGCAACCTGAATGCCTGGATCGATCCTGAACTTGTCAATCCAGAAATTGCCCGCGCGCTACCGGCAATTCCTGTACTTCTGACATACATGGGTGCTTGTCAAAATTATGGCCCCTTTTGGGGTACCCTAAATATTAGGTGCCGTACTATAATAGGGACCCAAAAAGGGACCCTAATTTTGACAGCCACCCACATGTAAGATGCACTCGCGGGTAAAGATGGAAGGGTCGTGGAGCCGGAAACCTCATGCTGCAAGGATCGAAGGCCTCAGTAGATACACTCCATGCAGCGACATAATGTCGACGTCTTAAAAGTCTTAATTCCGAGCTGAAACCCTAGCAAGCCACGCACACCTTGCTGGCAGAAGCTTTTTTCTGCATTTCAGACCACCTCTTCGTCAAAAAAAAGCTGATTCCTTCACGATTTCGATCCCCTTGAACCGGAAACCCATAAGGGTAGTCATCAAAATTAGGGTCCCTTTTTGGGTACCCTAAATAATAGGTGCCGTACCATATTAGGGATCCAAAAAGGGACCAAAGGGACCCTAATTTTGACAACTACCCGTGAGTTCAACAAACCTCAAGGATAAACCCTAAACCTTGGACCTTCACAGTAAGTCGCTTTAAGTCACATTGGACCCGGGGTTTAGATGTAACATGATGTAACCATACCTAACCCCGGTAACCGCAAAACGGAAAACCCTGATCCCTGTTTCGTGTAATTGAAACGCGCTGACAGATAATCGTGGAGAGTCAAGCATTTTGATAATCGTTCAAGATGGTGTCTCACTTACCTAGACCCCCCAACTACCGTATAATATACCCCAGGTACCCACAATTAATGGCCATAACGACTCTATTAAAGGGCCCTTAAAGGGCGGGGGTGGTTCTCACTTAAGGAATGCCTGACTTTCTGGGTCAGCAGGAGCTTCCCCAAAGACTCCAACATCCCTTAACAAAGGAATATACCCTAAATTATAGTAGGATCCCTAATATGATTTAAGGTATATTCCTTAATTAAGTGATATTTCAGTCTCTGGGTCTGCTTTCCTTGCATCGGCGACTGCCGAACTCCCTTCACATGTTACCCGAAAAGTTTACCTAAGGGTCCATGTACACAAATAGGGCTCCTCTGAGGGTTCCTTCAAGGCTACCACAGGATTCTATCAGGGTTCTATGGGGTTTATTAGGGCTTAAGGGTCCATGCGCCCACAGTATATACATTGTTCTTGAAGTACACCCTATACAGGTACATTGGGGCCAGAGTATATACTATTTGGGTACATGGACCCTTAGGCTTAACCCTACAGTAAACCCCAAGGTCAAACAGGCTATACACTACTCTTGAGGACTGCGGCTATTCGGTTTCCAAGTTTTGGGCTTCTACTGTAATGTTTATAGGCTTTAAAGAAACGCGTCGACATGAGCAGCTGGGTTGCTGCAGTCTACAGACAGATAGGCACGATGTTCCCACAGCATTCCCAAAGACTCCAAAATCCACTCCTGCCAGCGTTCTTCTGAGAGATACTGGTAGAGGAGCTGCAGCTACTCTAGCGTCGAGGCTTCCAGCGTCGCTGCAATTCTGGCTTTTACGGAACTTGCATCAGAATGTCGGAAGTCATGCGCCCTCGGCCCAGGACATCTTATGAAGTTCGCGAGCACCAGACCCTAAACCTTCCAATAGTTCAACCCAAATCCCTGCATCTCGAAACTTTCTGGTAGGGCTCTCGAGGACGTGCAAGCAGAGACATGCAACATGGCGAACGGGTTCGAAGATGTTTTGACGGCGACGGCAGCATAAGTGAAGTACAAGCGACTGGAAGAGAAACCGAAAGAGAGCAGGTGTTGCCGAACAGGAATATCGGCGCAGTATCACAATGCACAATACCAGGTATGTTCTAACAGATGCATATGTGACTGAATGCAAGACCAACGACAAGTGCGAAAGGATATGTGCAGCAATCTACTTACTGAAACTGCTTCAGAACCAAACCACTCGGCTGATGCATCATACGCCACGTATGATAGAGTAGAACAGTGCCATGAGAGTATGCCTACATGCATGATGCATCAAGGCATGTATGCTGCATATGTTGGCCGCCTGGCCTACCACTCATAACTTTAAGTAGTTAAGTTAAGGTA